AAGATATTCGTAACGTAGAACTTCTCGAGCAGGTGCTGCCGCCCCGTCCCCTACAACCGCAGCCCCCTGCGGACTCGATGGTGGAAGATTTCAACCTAGAGGATGTTGAGGATAGTGGCCGGGCGAGAGCGCATGGAGCTGTACACATGGGTGATGAAGACGATGATGATATTCCTCCCGGTGCTGAGCGGATGCAGTGCGCGTCTCAATAGAAGTTTTCTTCCCGACATTTTGCGGGAGAGTTTGGAGTTTGTGGGAGGCTTGCATTTTTTTAGGAGGGCTTTCCAGTAATGCAAAAGGGGAGTCGAGCGGACTTAGCGTCAGAAAAAGGGAAACCATTTCTTCTGCTCCTTTTATTTTCCTGGTTCCCACCCTTTTCATCTGGCTGGTTTAATACTTATCATCCCACGCCCGCTTCCCATCCAATGATTTTCCCTCATCCTCTTCCTTTTTTACCATGTTTTGCTACAAGAGCTGGTTAGGGCTGTTTTTATCCAATCTCTTAATCGTCTCTTTCTCTCCCGTTATTTATACTTCATCTTGTTTTTCCCTCTGTCTTCCGAAGCACCTCCGATTAGTTTCATGCTCTTTTCTATGTCTGTTCTTCTATTCATAACTTTTTTCTATATTTCCTTTCCTATTGCTATCATCATCATCATCACATAACGTCCACCGCACTGCACGTGGGGAGAGGCTTTTTTATCCTTTCTTTTTTCCCTTTTTTCCCTTTTTTTGCAAATTTTTTTATTTATATAACTGGTTTAACGATGGATTGAAATGAAATGGATGGATTAGACGATTTTTTCGATTTTTTTTTTATTTCATTTCACTTACCTTTTTATTCTCATAACTTTTTATCCGTCTTCCTGTTCTTAAAAAAAATCCTTGCCCTCCGTTCAGCCGTTATTCACCCCAAAATCAGCAAGCAGCAGCAGTGAGAAAACTTACAATTGCTCAAAATGACGAAAAAGTTCCGCTCCGTTTCTTATTCTTTGCCTATCCTTATTCTAAAACAATACAACAAACAATAAATAAGAGAAGAACAAAGGGGCTAACCGGAGCAAATATTCTTGCACCAAATGGCGGATTGGATTGTGCAAAGTACTCTCCTCTCTAATATCTTAATCCCCCCCTCATCTCCTCTCCTCCTTCAACACCTCCCTTCCACCAAACCAATATTTAATAATAAACCCAGGTTTAAGAAGGCCAAAGTGTCTCCCACCTGCGTTGGTCTAGCCCTTTAACATTTCATGTCACTTCATGATTACCCCGCGCGCCCCCGGGTCATCTTCATTTGTTCGTTCGTGCTCGGTGCAAATATATGTAGGTCAGTATATTTGTAGGTCAGTATGTGTCTGGTCGTTTCTGGCTAGCTAACGAACGTTGTACGGAACAGGTGGTGTGTGAGAGAGAGAGTGTGAGTGTGCTTCATCGAATATTTTTTTTTAGCTGTTAGTTTCCTTCCAGTCCAATTTTGTTATCATCTTCGTAATATAGAATAGATATATACATATGGCGGCCATTTCCAGATTTCTTTCTTTCTTTCATTCTTTCATTTTCCCCCTTCCGCCCCCGTTCCTATGTGTCCAGAACCTCGAGAGAGATGGATGAATGAATGATCGGGCACAGCATGGCGTACAGAGGCACGGTGGACAGTGCATGGTAGCATCGTAAGAGATTGACTCACATCAAGATCTTAGGGAACAAATAGAGGGATATATATATGTAAATATAGTTTTTCACTTGGCATGGGAGCCTAGAAGAGAGAAAAAATAAAGGAATGGGAGACAGAAGTTAATGTAAAACAAGGGGGTTGATATATACCTAGGTATAACTATATATTGATTTCCAATGCTAGGATTGTATTGTGAAGAGCAAAATTAATATGGATGTAAAATATGTATGCCCGACTATAAAACTGGAGTCTAGAGTTCTACCGGCTGTCATTCAAACCAATGAAAGCCATATGATACGGGCGGGAGTTTTACTTCTTTTGATCCATATGAGTACTTTAAGTATCCAGGTGTGTATATAGGAACTATGTATTACGTGGATATCCGACCAGTAGAACCGCATGGTTTTCCCTGATCGCCTCCTGAGCGTGATATTGAACTGATGCAGTATTAGGTCAGGCTACTACTACATGGACCACCACCACCACCACCACTGCCAGTAGTGCTTTTTACAAAAAGAGAAATAGAGCAAATGAAAATAGAAGCAGGAGAAGCGCCGTTTCTATCTTTCTCCGCGGCCAGCTCGGAATCCGGCAGGGGAAGGACCCTTGGAAGGGTTCTAGAAAGGGGAAAAAAGCGTTGGATTCCCTTCACAACCTGTTGTGTAATGATACGATAAATAACTACACATGCTGCTCTCTTTTACCGCGTACAGAGAGAATTGTGAACTGCACTCGACTGGTGGTGTACAATGTCGCCTCTTTTACCCTATCCGTTCCTCTTCTTCTTCCTTACATATCTGATCGTTCCTTCGTTTCTTCTCCTTCCTCTTTTTTCTTCATTCCTCCCTTCTACTCGCCGGCATGGCGGGTGGGGATCTAAGCTGCTACTGCGACATGTATATATATATATATAAGTGTGTCTGTACATGTACATGTATGACAGTGCGTAGAAAATGTGATCTAGATCCCCTCTTTTCAACCCGGGTTTTTGATCGAGGGTTTCATCGGGTAATGTGTGGTGAGGTGACGGTGATGGGGATTTTGAGGGAAGGCTTGGATGACGTATAAAGGGGGAGGGGGAGAGAGGGGAGAGAGCAGAAGGTTGCGCAAATTGAAATTTGACGTGGATCTTGAACGCACATAGATAAAGAGAGAGGGGGAGAGGAGGTGAAGGGGGGAATGAGGAGGAGTGAGGGGATGATGGGTTGGTGGTATGTCCGGATGGGCCCTGGGGGGTGGTGGTGGTGGTTCAGATACGATCGATTAGGAATTTACAAACAGAGAAACCATGATACGACAGATGGCCTGGTTCCTTTTGAGGGATATCTGTAGGGCAGAAGGGAGTATGACAGACTATGGTTGGATAGTGAGAGGAGAGAAGCTATGTGGTGGGAATGCTAGAGTTTAGAACACTTTTTACTTAAGATTTAGATACATGGAAGGATTGTTAGTATTTTTATTTTTTATTATTTTATTTTTATTTTTAACGGGTTATCATCCTAGCAGAGTTTTGATATTCGTCGCACAGCGTTATGTCGGCGGAGGGCCAGCATTGGTTCTTTTCATATCAAATAGCTATCAAAATGAAACCGTTGCATCTCCAATAGTAATTTCCCACCGCTGCTCTTTTCATCTCTTTGCAATTGGACGACATGAGTGTACCAGGTGTATCGAGTATGATTCCTCTGACAGCGTTGCTGGCCAGCATTATCTAATCCTATATAATTGGAGTGTTTGGCCTTGAGTTAGGAAGTGCCAGCATTGCCAAACCCTAACAAATGGTAGGGATGCGGGGGTGGGAGATCATAGGATAGAGAGAAATTTCTTCCAGCATGAAAAATTTGGTTCTGTGGCCCTTTTGCACCATTTAATCTCTAATTGTAGACTCTGTGTAGACTCCGTAGTAGCAGATGCTGCGACGGGGTCCCGAAAATGGGGAGAAGTTGATCAATTTTCCGTTTCCAAGATGTTGTACAGTACAACTTGGATGCAGAGAGAGAGAGGCGGCACCATAGAGCCAAAATGCATATACAAGAAACATCCATCGACATCCCACGTCGCACGGGGTAGTGAGATGAAACGGCGACCTTGGGATCGACATTCCTATTCCTGTTGTGTCATGTGTTCAAGATCAAATGGATAGAATCTCCTCAACTAACCCGTTCAATTTAGTTTTGCATGTATAGGTTTGACAAACATGCTCCCAATTGACACAGAATATGGCTCTATGAGGCAATCTCGGGCCTGTAAGCGATAATGGAGAGATATTGGTTGTCAAGCGAGAAGGGATTTGCCATTGCCATGCGAAAAAGGACAAGTGAGAGAGAGAGAGCTTCTGTTATGAAAAGGTCTCACAGCTCCACCTCATGCAACACAGATATATGCTATATGACAGAGCAGAAAAAGTAGTTGGAGATGAAGAATCAATATGGTTGGCCATTGCTTGTCACGATAAGGTCCGGCACAAGTGAGGGGTTACAGGACGATGAGAGATAATCCGGAGGGCGAGTTAGCAGAAAGGTGCGATGGTTTCGGGACTTGGCGACGGTAACTAGTCAATTGGTGTCATTTCGGCATCGCTTTTTTGTCTCTGTTTTCGTGATCATCAGAAGAATGGCATCTTCACTGTGTCAATCATATCTGTTTCCAGGGCAAGGGGCCGCCAAGGCGGGGCGTATGCAAGAAGAGCCGTTCCCAGCACGCCTGTCCAAGCACGAGAACGAGCAAGGATTGGCCGCGGGAAAGGGACCTGAAGTTTGAGAAGGGGCCTTGCGAACGCTATGCGTTTTACTTGCACAGCTGTTTCGCAATTCGAAGCCTCAAAAATCATTTTTTGTGGCTTTTTGGGATGAGCAATCATTGGTGCTTTGGCCTTGAGAGAACGCAAGGAAGAGGAAGAGTGATGACGACAGGGACGGGTTAGAGAGAGATGATCATTCTGAATTTATTTTGGAAATATTTCTCATACGCAATACTCCGTAGAGCTGGCGGAATCATCTTCTATGTAGTCTAGACGGACAATGCCATTCTTCCGGGCGAGAATCCGGTAACCAGCTATCGATCGAGATTATCTAGCATCCCGGGCCCGATCTGAGTTATCCCTGTGGGAGCGTAGCGCGGCACACCCTTGAAATCAATAAAAACTGATAAATCTTGATAACTATATTGATAATTGTTGCAGGATGGTTGGTTTCTTCAAGTCCTTCAGCTCTAATATTTTTTTGTAGATAGAGATAGTATGCATTTCCTCATCATCTCAGGTTGATATGGCGTCTTTCCATCAGCTTGTGATTGGCCGCCGGCCATGGCGGTCGCTAGTCCAATTACGGAACACTAAGCGAACTACGGCTTCTTTGCAGCCGGAAGCGGCTGGTTTTATGCGTTTATGGCTTCGTGGACGGGGGGAGAGATATCAAAACATTTACCATTATTTAGGCTACTACTATTGCTGCTGCGTGGTTCTCTGACAACTCAGCTGCAATTTTGATTCGGATCCCTAAAAAAATCATCCCTCAAACCAAGCATGAGGGCTGAGCTGGGAGCTAGCTAGCCACACCATCCGGTCGCAGTCGGTGCCAACCCTTGTCCCTCTCCACAACTTCCTACACAAGTACAGTACAGTACGGAGTACTCCGTAGTTAGGTTGTTGACGACACAAATGATATCATAATTCCAAGCCCGCCAGCATCCAGCAAACAAACACTAATATATCCCGGTTTGTGCTTTGTTACGCTTGCTGTAGGCCCTCGGGATTTTGATATGAATGACGGGGTATGTATGACAAGGGTTTTCGCATGTGTGAAGGGTCCCCAAGCCTTTTGGCGGGATAACCCTCCCCTCTCCTTCCCCGAGCCCTTTACTGTGGTTAGCTTGGATCCCACAGTCATGTCAGATGGTGTGGTGCTGTGGTGCTGGGGTGCTGGGGTGCTGTGCTGCCGGTGGCTTCCATTTTTCATAGGCTGCGGAAAACGCGACAAGAATAATCCTCGGACGGGTAGATTTATTAACCCCAGTCGATGAATATATCTCTATCCGGGTGATGATAACATCGCACATAGCTGAGATTCCTCCAGCCACACTGCAGTATCTCTTTTTGAGTTGGCCCCGTTGCTTCCCACGTGCGTGTTCCATATGTTCAACAGGCATATATATCATCATCGGCAGGTTTAGCTTAACCAATGACAATTTATGCGGATGCTGAGGATGCGGTTGAGATGGACATTTACCCTGTCCGCGGGTCAGCGCTGGCAAGAGGCAGAAATGCCAGGGAGGAAAAGAACCAGGAAGGAAAAAGAAAAGAGAAAGGAAAAGCGGTGCAAAAAATACGACATATATATAAATAGGTATATATATATATATATATGAATGTCGATCCTGTCCCTCCCTCCTCTATTTTCGGGCCTTAACTTCTGATCGCTTGGCTGGGAGCTCAGAGTCTTTTTGGAGCTCAGAGTTGGTTCCTCTCCCAAAGTTTGAACTTAACTTTATCTATTGTCTTGGGGCAACAGCTTCTAAAAAACACCGACTCGACCCTGGTAACGTCAAGGAGCTTGGAATTTGCGGCGCTCTCTCCACTTCGCTGACGATTGCGTGATGCTGCCCTGGCCTGACGAGTCTGCTTTGTCAACCATATCGTCTCATCACAAATTTACAACCATTCGAACGGGGAAAATAATACAAATACAAAATAAATAAAAAATAAAAAGAGAAAAGAGAAAGGAAAAAAGAAGGAAAGAATATTAATTACACTCTTCATCTCGGGTTTTCTTCATTCTCGACACGCTCTCTAATATACTCCCTCTTCTACACTTACATATTCCCTCCCGAGTTTACAGATCCTACTTGTTCTCTTTGAAGGGGGTCCTTTTGTCATCAATTCCGGCATTAGTAGGGTTGATATTTATTTTCTCAGAACCCAAGTGTACTTACTGCCTGGTTTCCTTTTTACTCCTTCCATATATTCCTTCCAAGCCGAAAATGGACTCCTGATTCTGATATCCTGAAATTGTGAGCCATTGCTCCTTTTAAAGCTGGCTTTTTTTTCTCTTTTTTATTTCTAATCGATTCGATACCCCATTCTCCAAAGCCCTTTCATATCCATATAAATATTTACTCTTCTCGCTTCGTTGTTTCTTTTTGCTACCCTGTCGGTTGTCGTTCCCATTACTTTAAGTCGACACACATACCTACACACACATACCTAGGTCCGCACACACCTTCAGGTTACACACTCACTTCGAGTCTACCATTCCAAGAGATTCGTCCATCCGCGACCCAATCCCCAGGAGCCCAATTCGTTTGCTCGTTCCTCATACTTGTCTCGAAAACGGCGGCATGGCGGACTCTAAGGGTAAAACGTCAATTAAAGTTGGAAATACCCTTGCCAAATGGGTGGGTATCAAAAAGAACTATCGGGACCCCATCGACGCAGACCCTGTTACCCGCGGGGAATCAACGTTTTCTGTTGGCACATCGGATACCTATGCCTATGTCGAAGAAGAACCATCCTCGGCAGATTGGTTGCGTGAATTGCTCCCTACTGGTCAGCAGGTTGTAGAATACTTCATCAATCTCTTCCCCTTTTTGCGCTGGATTACCCGATACAACCTTCAATGGTTGATTGGAGACCTTGTGGCTGGTAAGTTCCGTTACCATACTATACCATAATAAGTGAACGTATGTGATTTTAATAACCCTTTTATAGGCATCACTGTGGGCGCAGTTGTCGTGCCTCAAAGCATGGCATACGCAAAGCTAGCTGAATTAGAACCTCAGTTTGGCCTGTATTCGTCATTCATGGGCGTACTAATCTACTGGTTTTTTGCAACCTCGAAGGATATTACAATCGGAGTGAGTCTTTAGCCATGTCGCTTGCTTGCTACTCTAGAAGCTAATTTGATCCAAGCCTGTCGCGGTAATGTCAACTTTGGTTGGCCAGGTTGTCCTCAGGGTCAAGGAAAATAACCCGGAGATCCCAGCGCATTTTGTTGCGAGTGCCCTTGCGATCATCTGTGGCGGGATTATCACTTTCATCGGCCTGATCCGATGTGGTTGGATCGTGGATTTCATCCCCTTGACCGCCATCACTGCTTTTATGACAGGCTCTGCCATTAGCATTGCTGCCGGCCAAGTTCCTTCTATGATGGGCATTCGTGGTTTCGACACTCGTGATGCTACTTTCAAGGTGATCATCAATACTTTCAAACATCTACCGGACACAAAAATAGATGCCGCAATGGGTTTGACTGCCCTATTCCTCCTCTACCTCATCCGCTGGGCCTGTAATTTCAGTGCCAGAAAAAACCCGAACAAGCAAAAGCTCTTTTTCTTCCTGTCTACCTTGCGGACCGCGTTCGTCATTCTTCTATACGTCATGATCAGCTGGCTAGCCAATCGAAACCATCGCGAGAAGCCAATCTTCAGAATATTGGGTTCAGTTCCTAGAGGTGTGTAATACCCATCTCTCCTAATAATAGCGATCGTTCTGTTCCATTACTCTGTTTACCCGTGTAAATATCGCAAATGACATTTACTTACAAAGGGAATAAATAGGGTTCCAAAACGCAGCTGTGCCGAAAATGAATACCAAACTCGTCAAAAGTTTTGCAGGCGAAATCCCCGCAGCGGTCATTGTTCTTCTAATTGAACATATTGCCATTTCAAAGTCTTTCGGACGCATCAATAATTACACCATTGACCCGTCTCAGGAATTGGTTGCTATTGGCGTGACCAACCTTCTTGGACCTTTCCTTGGAGGGTATCCTGCCACGGGATCCTTCTCAAGAACGGCTATTAAATCTAAAGCGGGAGTGCGTACACCATTTGCTGGAGTCATCACAGCTGTTGTTGTTCTGCTTGCTATTTACGCCCTTCCCGCAGTTTTCTTCTACATCCCCAACTCGTCCTTGTCGGCTGTCATTATCCACGCTGTGGGAGATCTGATCACACCACCAAATACCATCTATCAATTTTGGAGAGTCTCGCCTCTCGAAGTCCTGATTTTCTTTGCCGGAGTCTTTGTCACCGTTTTTTCCTCAATTGAAAACGGCATCTACTGTACCGTCTGCATATCGCTCGCCATTCTGCTTTTCCGTGTCGTTAAAGCCCAGGGGCAGTTCCTTGGAAGAGTCAAAATCCATTCTGTAATTGGAGACCATGTTCAAGGAAGCGATGGGAAACATGGTCATTCATTTGAAGCGAATGAGTTCAGCGATTCCAGAGCCAATGACCCATCTTCAGCCCGAAACATTTTCCTTCCGATTAACCATAACGACGGTTCAAACCCTGAGATCGAAGTTGAACAACCTTCTCCAGGAATTTTTATCTATCAATTCTCCGAAGGGTTCAATTATCCTAACGCAAATCACTACTTGGATCACCTCGTCTCTACAATCTACAAGCATACACGACGAACAAACCTCGACAGCTACCCTCGTTTGGGTGACCGGCCATGGTGTGACCCCGGCCCTCGTAAGGGCCAGGTCGAAGAGGATCGTTCGCATCTTTCCACTCTCAAAGCTATCATTCTTGACTTCTCCTCCGTTAACAACGTTGACGTCACTTCTATTCAAAACTTAATCGATGTTCGCAACCAGCTCGATAGGTACGCTGCTCCGCAACCTGTCCACTGGCACTTTGCTCATATCAACAACCGGTGGGCCAAACGCGCTCTTGTTTCTGCTGGCTTTGGCTATCCAACACCCAGCCCTGGGGGAAATACACGATGGAAAGCGATCTTCAGCGTTGCGGAGTTGGGTGGTAGTAATTCCGCTGCTGCCCATGAGGCGCTTGAGAGACGACGGGAATCGGAACAATCCAGTTCCAGAATTCAACAAGATGTCGAGGCGGCGGCAGGACAAGCGAGGAGTGAGCAAACTGCCCATAGAACTGGCGCCGAGGATGTCGTCGAAGAGACTTCCAGCACCGAGTCTGGAAATGAGCTTGGAAAGGAATTGAATTCTAGTAAAGTGTACAACGTTGCCAGCCGGAGAATTGTTGCGGTCCACGGTCTCAACAGGCCCCTTTTCCATATGGACCTTACCAGTGCACTTCAGAGTGCGCTTGCAAACTCTGCGGCCACTGCTGCTGAAAACAAAGTTTCAGGAGAAGAATGAATGTGGAGTATGCGCATTATGAATTAAAAATTTATGAGCGAGGTAGGCGTCGGAGGGAGTGGCATAATATACCCAATATTTCGAATGCAAGGGTTCTCTCTTGTTTTTGTTTTCTCAATACCCACCCCATATCCACCTCTATCCTTTGTGATTTGGTCTTTGATATTTTTTAGTCAGCGCCTATAGAAGGTGGGGCGGCTTTGGCTTTTGCGTCTTTGTTCTGTTCGATGCTTTCTCGGGGTGACATTATAACTTTGATTTGATTGAATGATGTTGCCGCCACTACTTACTTGTCCCTCTGTTTGTTTGCATCTGTTCGTTGACACAGAGCCTCTTTTGAAGTAAGAGAGGGCCTCTCTAAGTGGCTCATAGCAATTTCTATATTATGATATTTGGGAGATGAGTTTGAATTTCGGGATCATATATTTCTTTCTTCGTTATCTTTACTCCCTCTCCAACTCCTCCAATCCATGAAACGGAACCCTGCAACCCCCCCAACCCTGGTTCAAGATATCGGTGATCATTTCGCCTTATTCCCTTCCACGTGTTTAGTTAATCTTCTTCCTCTAGAATTGGAGCGCCGTCTTATATGTCTGTCATTATTGATAGAAATCGTCAGACGATAAAAATTTTACCATCTTTATAAAATATTTAGTTTTTGCGTTATGGTTTCTTATTATTTATCTATTTACTTTTAGCACCTCTCTCCCTTGGCTATCAATAGTTATTCCTGGACAAGCTGGCGCTGCCTCTTATTCAATTTCCACCTACGTCTGTCAGTCAGTCATGCTCTCTTCAGGCAATTCAAAATATCTAGTCTTACATCGCACGGACAAATACATACATACATACATACATACAGAGACTCATGAAGCAAAATCACGTCAATCTGGGGATTAAATATTATGTGCAAAGAGCAGTCACATTAATCGGAGATCATCTGTGTCCATTCGAAAATCAGGAACCGCTGCGTGTGTATCATTAGCACTTTGTGTGTTTGAAATGCAGAGGCTGCGCTGCGTGGACTGTACATAGAGTTATAGAAGGGGTTCAATGTTGCTAGCGGTTTCCAGCTTTACTTAGCGAAGCTCTCTGGTGCGAATTTTCCTGCGGTGAATTCGTGCGCTATGGAATTTCTAGAGATTGGAGGAAAATCGAGCAGGCGCGGTATCCATGTAATGTACGTGTTGTTTTCAGCCGTGATGGTTCGATCTGTTGTTATGCTCTTCAGCACATTGGTTCGGTCTTGTACGCAGTACTGACACGCCACTAAATAACGTTAGTTAAATACTTTTTTTTTTTTTTTTTCACTAACTTAATTGTCGAAAAAAGATTGAGTGCAGGGGTAGTTAAGGAAAATATGCACGGTCGTTCCTTGAACCACATTCATTCCCGCGCTCATCCCGCTCCCCGCAACACTGTCATCTGCAGGCATCTTTGCCATGTTTCCCTTTGTTGCTTATTCGCCCGACCCAAATTTTTAACTGTAGGTATGAAAGGGATTATCGAATCGTTCACGCAAAGTACTATGTATGCGTAGCGCCGGCTTCCGGGAACTATTCCCCCTTCCGCGCGCTAACCAGATGAATCATGCCAGAGATCGAGCTAACAATTGTGTCAGGACTGGGGACAAGCTGCTGAAATGTAGGCGGCCGTTTTGGCGTGTGCCTAACGATAGCGCACGGAAGCCTAGGCGATGATGCATTGCAACGTTGAGGCATGCATAGGAATGACGGATGTGGTTAATAATCTACCATGTGAGTGGTACATATATATAGCCCCAATTACCTATATTTGCCTTGGGGAGTTGAGTACACCTGCGTTATATGATTAGTCTCAGTCATCGAATTCCAGTAGGATTCCCTTCTCTTCCCCCTTCTCTCTCTCAGGATGGACGTCAATTCCAAACAGAAGTAGGTCGGTCATCTCACATCACGACGGAAGCCGCAACTGCGCACACAGTCGTTCGCAGAGCCGCAGAGATGTATCGTCCCTGATCCAGATGTCGATATCGCACCGGAGGTATGTACAGTATACTACCCCCCTTGCCACCATAAATCATCAACAACTTCCGGAAAAAGTCTAACAATCCAAACTCCAGACTGACCCATCCGGTTATATGAAGATTCAGCATTGGGAACTTTGTATGTTATATATTGCCCTAACGTCAATTTATCCTGTATGCTTCTCTATGTGGTCAGCAAGGGGTTAGACATCTATCAAGTATGCTAACTTCAATCGTTCCAATTTGAAGTGATTCCAGCTCCACTACTTCCATAACATCGTCCGTTCTGAACTTCAAGTCTGAGAATGGACGAAGATATAGTTAGCGGAGACCGGGCTGCGGAATATGTGCTAGTATAGAGCGATTCACTCATACTCTCAGATACCTAAACGAAGGGCGGCTAATACCATATTTCTAGCCAAATGATGAAAGGGCAGGCTCGGCTAGATCTGGTACGGTCATCATTTTGGAGGTTAATATGGAATCATTTTGCTGACGGGTTTGGTAGCCGCATCACGGCTAAGTGAATAATGGTCCTTGGAGGAGCACTCCACCTGGTGTTGGGCTTAGCGCGCGAGTGGGGCCCCGCGCTAACCAAGGTGTGATCTTGGCGCCAATATCAACTCCTCTCCACCTCAACGAGTGGTGGTGGCACACACATCACATCCGCTCTGTGAACGTTCTCGGGGCATCTCGCCATTGTTTAGCATGACAACAGCAAGCATATCAAATCTTACCAATAAGAATAATCCCTCGCATACCAGACTCAATGCCTATCTTTTTGCGAGGTAATTGGCCTGGAAGTTGGCATGTTGACTGGTGGTATTGTGGCTTGTTCGGCATAAGTTACAGGGAAGCTGGAGCTGAGAAAGAGACCTCCACAACACCATCCCTCGACTTGCACGTCAAGCAGATCCTCGAAACTGGGCTCTTCTACTCTGTGAGCATGTTGTTGGTTGCTTTTTAGGCAACAAAGCCAGGACCATACCGCACTCCAGCCCTGCGAAGCGGTGCTGTCGGTCAGAATATCAATGACGATAATAATGCTTGGTGCCCACCTAGGCAATGCTGTCCAATGCCTCTCTTTCCACTTTAGGTTATGATTTCGCACTTAGTAGCCTTGGAGGAACTACTTGAGATTGAGGACGTCTTGTTCTGTACTCCTCATAGGTGTCTCACCCTCAACCACCGAGAACCCTATCTGTGGAACAATTTGTCTGATCGGTCACGTGTCGTTGTCCACCTTGGCTGCTGTCATCACCAAGCTGGACATCTATTTTATATCTGTTCCCTTGGTGTTGGTGGGCGTCGCTTGGCGGTCTGTGAAGCAGGTGAATACATACACTTGGCTGATTGACATCTGGCCTCATTACATGATCTTCGTGTGTCTGCTACGACTGCAAAATGGAAGGATAATGGAATCCAAATTGCGATAATCATCCGAGGCCCTTACGCCTACAAACCCTCTGCCTTTAGATGATTCCATATTCATCGGTATGTGATGCTTCCAATAGCTCCATGACCTAGCCTATGTGAATTAACCCTTCCTGCAATGTTAAATTGGATGCTGAACAGACATCCTCTGAAGCTGCCACCACGGGGGTTTTTACATGACCACCAACCTCGGGGGTTTTCGGATATCAAAAGAGCCCGCACTACTACTGTACATAAAGGGCACTGGTCATGGAAAATTTTCCTTTTTCCGCACTGGAATACTGTCTGTTTGCTAACGGGGCGCCAGGCCAGACTCTTATGCGAATGTGTCTCAGTCTTGCTGAGCACTATTGACTGCCTTGTGTGAAATTGGCCTTTGTAGAAATCTACAAAATTTCACGGGTTGAATAAGGCACATTTTTCGCTAGTGTCGATCGTTAAAAAGTATGCCTGAGCAATCTCCCATGAAGCACGGAGCCGTCAAAAATTATATCCCTGCAATCCGGAACAATTGTGCTGGAAAATGAGCATGGTATACATGAGTGAGGTCCTTTACCCTATGGGCCTTTACCAGGAAATATCACGACTGAAAAAGACCCTAGTACAATGAATATTGGCTTTGTTGATTGGGGACATTGGGTTGCCGCATTGATGGGTGAATCAGATCCGACTCCCTGCAGTGGGATGGACTTTCATCTGATGCCACAAGACCTACCTAGCGGAGACCTAAGGTTCAATTTGCGGGGTCATTGGATTTGAATGCTACATGAAAGTATGGCAGTTGCGATATTTAAGTACCAAGAGAGAAGTTGGGTTCGTCTGAGGTAGAAACGGAGAGGCAGTGCGCTGCGTCGGTAGCTCAAATCAACGTCTCTAAGCTGTCCAATCAGGTTAGCCCTGTATGTAGCGTGTGCCTCTCACTGGGCACTCCGCTGCTGGCTTAAGAAGGAATGACTTGCAGAATCGGGCTACCCATTGAGCTACAGACGAATTTGCACATAGGTGACTGCTTGACTCATTTTTGATCAACATTCTGCAACATCAGAACTATTAAAGTCGAGCCGACTTTTCATGTCGGTCATGCGCGGCCCTAAATAGTATGATAATGGTTTCAGGGTTTGCAAAACAATAAGGCATTGAGTTTCAACTGAACTTACCTTGTTATTTTTTCGATTATTTCCCCAGCATCAGGCAGCCCCACAACAACTGCTGTACTACGCTGTATTGCTTCAAACGAAAACGATGCTTTTCCCTCTTTCGGTAAGGGGAGAATCCACCGAATACGGGGTGGAGATCGCCCAAGGCCAAGCTCTCTCACCCTAGCTTGCTGGTGTGGCTGTGGAACGAGGGCTTGACTTTTCGAGCTAGATCTGTATCCTGTGAACTTCTATAAAATCTATGGCATCACCTCTAGCTTCCAACATCCATCAGAGGTCAGATTTTCTATTTCTTCTTCCAAAATTATTCACTTATTTGCGTAATGTTATATTACTTTATAAAAAAGCAGTTTCGTGCCAGACAGCACCCAGAAGAAAGGGCGGACAAAGCAGAAAAGGCGAAGCAAAAGCGCCCATGTCGGCACCAAAGGCGAAATCAAATCCAGGCAACCGAGTTGGATCCTGTTCCTTTTGATGAATCTGGAAATCAACATGATCCGACAAGCGCAAATCTACTTTCATCCCCAGATCCGGCCCATGAACAAATCCCCTCAAATGGACCATGTGAGAAATGCAAAAAGGAGAAGCACGATGCGAGGGTTTACCGTTCAAAGTTGATTGCCGGTCTGGTATTCCCATATTTCCTCGCATCAGTCGATTTGACTATCGTTGCGTCTGCAATGCCTTTCATAGCTTCCCATTTCAGTAAGTAAACACCCTTCATCCTTTCGTGGCTAAGATTTTGGTCGTGTCTGATATTCCCAACCAGATAAGCTGGACCAGCTCAACTGGATCGTCACTTCATTTACATTGACTTCCACGGCGTTCATCCCAGCTTTCGGCCAACTAGCTGATGTTTATGGCCGCCATTTTGTTCTGCAACTCGCCATGTTCTTAATGCTCGTTGGCAGTGTGTTCTGCGCCGCGGCCCGGACTTGGGGGATGTTACTTTTTGGCAGAGCGTTGCAGGGAACAAGCTCTGCGGGAATCATGAATTTGATTGAGATCGTGCTGGCGGATAATGTGTCACTGAAAGAGAATGCGAAGAACACCACTATTTTTCAATTCGTATCTGGGGTCAGTTATGGTGTGGGCCCAGTCATTGGAGGGTAAGCTACACTTCATCTAGCGAAATCTTATTCATTTGTCGAAGATACTCAACTAACTAGTTTTCAGGTATTTAACTGATGTATAACAACCCTATAATATCTTGTGTCGGTATTGTATGAGAGTTCCCTAACAGTCAACAGGCTAATTGGCGCTACTGTTTTGTTATAAGTATACCAGTACGTCTGATCAGTTCTTCTAATATAATTTATTATTTATCAATACGCTAATGTCTCTTTGCTTTGTGCTTGGTTGATTAGATCGCTGTTTTTGCCCATTTCGCAATATTCTTCTTACTCCGTAAGGAGCTAGTCAGGGGCACACATCTCGCGAGAAGTTCTTCATCCATTTTATCAGGACTCGCCACCATTGACTCCGGCGGTACCGTACTGTTCATTCTTGGAATCGGCCTTATCATCTTAGGCACTAGTTGGGGAGGCGCAACGTACCCATGGACTTCAGCCGCTGTTCTTGTTCCCTTGATTTCTGGGTCGATTTTATTTTCGCTCTTTTTTGTTTATGAGTACTACCTCGAACCGGGACGAGTACTTTCAAGGGTCTTCCCACAACAAACTCCCATGGTTCCGTTCCCCATGTTCAAAGTAAAGGATACATCGCTTCTAGCTATTCTTGAGTTCGCTACCGGAGCAGGTAAGAAGATTGGAGAAAGGGGCCCGCATTCGCCGGACTTCATTCATCCCAGACTTATACATATAGTTTACTGACTTTTGTTCTAGCTCTTTATTCGGTGTTTTATTTCATTGGAATATATTTCACGCTTGTCGAAGCTTACCCCTCCGGGAAGGCAGGTATCCAACTACTGTTCTATATCCCTGGTATCGGAGGTAATATCAGATTTTCCGCCCTCCAAAAATCAACGCCTTTCCGAGGTCATGTTTACGTGCTAACGCGGGATTTCTAGTCGGTATATACTTGGCCATGTTCGCGTGTAATGTCTGGCCAGCGCAAACCTTCACACCGCTTAGTGCGGGTACATTAATCGAAACCGTGGGCGTTGCCCTTATCACCTGGGCTGTCACCACACGCAATATACCTCTGGTCAATGGAATGATGGCTGTTGCCGGTGCCGGGACAGGTCTTCGATTCATGCCCTCTTCATTACACGCAGCTGGGATCTGGCCAGACAAAATTGCGCCCGCCATGTCCATCATGAGATTTTGTCTTCCCTTTGGAGGCACATTGGCACTCGCTATCATGGGTAGTGTTTTCAACAACAAGATGACTAGCATTTTCCATCCAAATTCGGAGTCTCAAAATGGTGGTATTGACATTCAATCGAGCCAGAGTTTGGATGATATCAGCAAGCTTCCGCTAGAGGTGCAAGAGCATATCCGTACTACAGGAAAAGACGCGGTTATGTGGGCTTTTATATCGATAATGCCGATTATGGCGATTAGCTTTGTTACCGGAATCTTTCTGGGTAATGTGTGGATTAAAAAGAAGGGCGAAGGAAGCGAAGACCAGATCGGGAAAGACGCTTCTACTTCTCCAGCTGACGATGACGAAGATATCGAAAGTAATGAGGTTGTGTACGTCTCGTACCTTTGGGCACGGGTAACGGTATGCTTTCCTTTCATCTATCTAAAATTCACACTTTCTCCTCTCTCTTTCTTCCAAATTATAGTCAAGCTTAATTGAGCAAATATATCAAGTATTCTAACCTACAAGCCAACAGGGAACCTTAGACGAGAAAAAACGCATCACCAGACCCCTTACCAAAGCCGAAAAGCAAAGACAGGCTGCAGCCTTGCTCGAAGCAAAAACAGCAGCGGGCAAAGCTCAGAGACGAACCATCAGACGTTGAAAATCACATGCTTACTCCCAACCCTCATCAGCGCCTTGCCTCTTCTTAGGTTCTTGTCAAACAGTCCAGTTTTATCCTATCCCCGTATGTTAAGTGGGAATTTGGTTTCCGATTATTTTTTTCATCCGTCCCCCTTTTCAGCCTTACGACTTTTTTCTTGTTATGGGCGTATTCATAGCACACACATATATCCCTTCTTGTACATGTTTTCCGCATTTCTTCTCGATATTTTGATGCATTATAGAGTAGATATATGTTTTACGTCCACAGTAGTGAATATGCCCCTTGCTCAAGTTATTCTATGTGGATCTAGTGCTTCGGCCATTTCTTCTGAAACCTCTACGCAAGCCAAATCGGCCTAGGCGTGCAGAAATTTTTTGAAAACGGTAGCGAGGTACTGTAGTGGAGCAGGGAAAATATCACTCCCATATGATTACAAGAAGAGCTCAATCCCAGATGCTGTCACTATTGCATCAAAATATGAATTGAACAGATGCTGCCCGAGGACTTGAAAATTTCAGACAGCTCACGAGAGCTGACCGCGATATATACGGCTATACGAGCTCAAAAAAGTCATACATATATTCCTTTCAACGCGATACATAATACAGAGACAGAGGAATCCGGATGTAAACTACCTCAACACACCCCCAACCCCAGCCCACCCAAGCACAAAGCCACTAAGCGCCTCTCCCATAACCCCACCGCCAAACCAAAGATCCCTCCAAGCACCCTTTCTCGACTGCAGACTCCTTTTATCCCCCCCCGAAGATCCATCTACTTCCTCCGTAGTAATCTCTCCTGTGCCGGGGAAGTATGCGCCAACTCCCATCCCGCTGTTTCCGAACCCGATTAAAACCGCATGGAACAGGAAGGAGACGAGTATTGTGCCGATGAGGTAGAAGAGGAAGCCATACGATGATTGCAGGCCGAGGATTCCGGCGCAGATGCCGAGGAGGAAAGCGGTTAGGGAGTGGAGGGTTGAGAGAGTCTGGTGGGCATAGATATGTTTAGTTTAGGGTTTGGTTGTTTAACTTTTAGGTTTTGGAGGAGCTCGAAGAGAAAGGGGTGCAGCAATAAGCTGGCTCCCCTTTGGGCAGCTTGGGGCAATACGCACGCGGTTATTATGTATGACTGAGTCCGGAACGAGAGGGTTTATGAGGAGGGAGAGTTCTTGTGGTGTTGGAGGCATTGTGGCGGTATTAGGTTTCTTTTCGCTTCCTCTCCCCTCTGTCCTACTAATATTGCTGTCCCTTTTCGTCTTTCACTCCCAATTATGTCCAGGTGATCGTAGATTGGGCCTTCGTTGCAATTAGATATCGAAAATGTGCCACGTCCTCGTGAGCTCCTCGACGTTTCCTTAGCCCATAGCAATCATCAAAAAAAACTAATAATGGCGTTAGCATGCGCAATAACAACATTAGATAGTAGCCTCCCTATTCCGGATGCGCTCTCACCTATTACAGATGTGCTGTAAATTGTTCGGATGCAGTATGCGCCAGAAGCAAGAGATTCAGGCTCGAGATTGGTATCAAATCACATGACGACAGTAGTAGGACGGATCAAACCTTCCAAGGTTGGAAAGTTCCCAGGTTGCCATCGTGTCATGTGATTTCCCACACCCTACATCGAATTCCAATGTCTCCTGCACACTCTCATTGCATTGGGTTATTGTTATATAAATTGGAACAATTACATTTCTTAACAGTATGGTGTAAGATGGTGAAGCTGAGAATCACAGCCACTTTTCCCTCAGGCTGCCAAGGAGGTTCTCTGATTCTTTCTGTCAAGATGTTTTACCACGAATTTGCTACTGTTTATAGAGGCTTGAGGGAAAAGAGCACTGGGAAGCACAACTATCCCTATCATCGTACCGACGATTAAAGAATGGCAAGCTGCTTTTGGTTTTTTTTTTTTTTTTTTTTTTTTTTTTTTTTTTTTAATAAAAAATAGCCGAGAAAGGCGATGAGAAGCCAAAGAAGCACAGAAAGAAAATAAAAATGAGCCTCTAAACTTTCGTAGCTAGGTAAATACACAATCATGACATGGCAAGAAGCACAAACAAGGACGGAAATAAGGAGGGGAGAAACCAACGTTACAACATAATAACAAAGGTGAGGAGAACAGGAAATAATTCAGGGGTAAAATTTGAAAATCACACGATATAAAGGAGTTTTGCGCAAAATGTTAGAACAGGACATCCACTGAGAAGAACAATACACAGTTGATAAGAACGAATTACTTTCTCTCTTCATGCTCCTCAGTCGCTTCCCTAATCGATAGTCACTCATCCGGTGATCCTTTTCCAAGCTGGACATAAGATAAAATAGAATATATGGCCCATAAGGCAAGGAAATTTGAGTGTGAAAACTAACACTAGTACCAAACTATCTTAGCAGTATGATCTGCTCCGTAATAACAAAACCGTTTTTTACCTCATGTAAAAAGCCAAAGCCGTTTCGTGCATTAAGAATCGCAATTCAAAAACAAAGTATATTGGGATACGTTCCCGTACCGGTGATTCTGGATTCACCCGTCCGCACGGCGTCAAAAAATTCAAAGAGCGGAATTGAGTTTGCCCTCCGCCTTGGCTTCTTTGACTTGGTCAAATACCTATGAAATGGGTTAATTCAAACGCCGGTGATGTTTACGGTATTATATCTAAAACTGACCTTAAGCATCTTATTTCTTGCTCCAAGAGCATTCACTCCTCGTTCCTCTAGCCCTTTATCATCCAATTCGATCAGCTCGGTCCACTTGAGGTCCTTAAGGTTTTCTGTATATTTGTGAAGACGAAGGGACCTAAGCCAGCTGGGAATATCCTGAAGCAGATGAGGATCAGTCGGATCCTCTGGTGGCTTGGAGCTGCCTCGTCTTCCACGTGGAGACCGGCCTCGTGCAATCTCAGAGTGATCAGAGAGATAGCCCTCGGGATTGCCACTAAACTGGGCCATATTGAGCCCACCGAAACCATTGTTCAACAATGCATTCGTATCATACGCAGCCAGAAATCCGTTGTTCTGTGGAGGAGCGAAAGTCATGTGGCCCATGCCACCTCCTTGCATCGCGATCCCTGGAGAATTGGGGCGGGACCGACGACCAGCCATGGCAGCTTGTTGCTGGGCCTGTAAAGCAGCAATTTGTTGGGCATTCAATATCTGGCCAACGTCATTGACCATGATCAGATTTGTCCCCGGCAGGTTATTGTTAGGGATGCCAGGGGAGAGCGGTTGCTGGTTCATGTTCGGGCTTTTGCCCTGTCCATCATTAGAACGTGCACGGCGATACTTCCGTGCATCATCTAATGCAATCCGGTTATTTACGGTGGACAAGGCCGCCAGCTTCATAGCTGTCGCATTAGCCACCATATCTGCTTGGGATGGGGCATTCTGTTGTTGGTTAAAGGCCGCCACATTGGGTGTGTTTGTCATTGACGCCCAGCTAGCGCCGTTGTATGGAGAAAAGAAATGCGGTTCCGTCGAAAGATCCGGAGCAGTCACGATGGTGCTTTGGATGTTAGATGGGCCTGGAGGCATGGATCGCGGAGACCGAAGGCCTGCTGACTGAGGCGGTTGAACAAATTGACCCATGGGTGGGTGCTGTTGCCCAGAGGATGATTTAGGTCGCGCAATTGGAGGTTGGGGCTCAGGGGTACGTTGAATCCAAGGAGATGACGGTGGTTGAGGCAAATTATCTTTACCACTATCCGGCGCCGAGATTGTTGGTGCAATTAGGGAAGAACGATCCCCAAATACAGCACTATTCCGATTCGCAGAAGGGGCAGTTCCAGTTTGTTGAGTAAATTCAGCTTTCTGTTTTGCAATAGCTGCAGCAGCATCTGGGAACATGGCATTGATTGTGGATGAATCTAGCCCTGAGTTACGTTTGTTTCCAGGAGAAAGAGGCGGGCGGCTAAAAGAATTACGAGAACCCTCGACGTTCAATTTCGACATTGCATCAGTAAGGCGGTTGTTCATGGGATCTGGGAAAATGTGTTAGTTTATTTTTGATACCTAGACGTGACAGGATTGGTGGTCTTTACCTTTTTCACCGAAGTTGGCGGGGGACAAGACACTCGACATTGGGTGGCTTTTCGACATTTGCTGAAGAACCTGGATGAAAAAGCGGATCTGGACCTGAGTCGTTTGTTGAAGAAGTGCATAAAGAGCAGCGGTTCTCTCTGCCTCACTGAGGACTCGGAACCACTGCTCAATAGCGCTTAATTCATCTTTGAAATCCTGATCCAAGGTAGCAGCCGCCATCTCCTCCAGAGTTGTCTCATACTGATCAATATCTGCGATCCACTGCTGGGCAGCCTTGTCGATGTCATCATTATTCTGAGAGTGAGATTGCTGGTTATAGAAGACTTCGGAGGAGGGCCGAATGCTCCGAGCAGAAAGAGGCGAAGCAAATGATGACATGTCGGCGGAAGCACGCAGCTGATGGGAACCACCAAGTGCACGGGAGGATGGAGGGCGGAGCGAGGATTTTGATGCTTCTGGAGTACTGTTTCTGTTTCCAATAATGTGGCTAGCCATAGCTAAATGTAAGAGCGGTTGTGGGGAATTTGGGCGCTCTAGTGAATGGACGGTTTTGGGAGGGGTGATTAGACGGAAGAATTATTAAAAGCACAAGTGTGATTAGTACAAAGCTCCTGCAGCACCGGCTGACTTTGCGTATGTATATTACGTTCGAGGCCAAGAAACGGTTTAACCGATTTACCAGTCGCTTGATGGGAAATCGGAGGGAGAGAAGAAAGGAGGCTGACGGATTTCCAATCTCAGGCCGACGCTGAACAAGATAGTTCCGATTGGGCTAGGGATTAAAGACAGGCCAGTCCAGTGGCTGTACTGATTGGGGGTAAGAGGTAAAGGATACAACGGAGATAAAGTTGTCAAAAAAGCACAAATATGTGGAAATAGAAGGAAGACGAAGGGTGATTAAGAGCTGATTTGGTGGAGCAAGCTGCGAATGAGAAGATACGAAATCAGACAGCAGTGTGTCAAACACAGCAGCGAAAGACAGGCAGAAGGTTAGCCACCAGAAAAAGCAGAGTCCGGAATTAGAGAGAAAGAAGTGAAGCTGGACGGAGAACGAACGAGGATGGAAGAAGGGGGAGAAGGGAAAGACGGAGAGGATGAAGCTGGAAAGGGACGGGGTTGACACTGAAAGTTGAAGTTGATCGAGATGAGGATTTTGGTGGAGCGAACTGGCCCTGCTGACTAAGTCCAGGTGGACCCAGATGCCTGGTTTCCCGATAAAGTTTAGTGCCTGGATCAGCTGACTCTCCAGTTTGAGAGAAACGAAACCTTTCATGTTAACTTCCAACCTAGAAAAGACCCTCTTTTAATTTCAAGGCAAACGCATGATCGTTGCTTTTCTTTGACATCGCTGCTGTTATATTTTAATTCACAGATATGTGCAATTCTTTGTTCTACAGAGTGAAGATAGGATCGAGTTTTCCTTCTTAGGGCTTTCTGTCTATCAGGTCAAACCATGGGAAAGTCGAAAGTCCAATGGAAACTTTAACTATACATTTGGCGGGATGCTGAACTCAACGGGCAAAGTTACTGCACACCTTCCAGCAAGCAATATAGATACAGATACCATATGGATATCTCTTACAGTCCACGGAATTAAGGCTGGCAAAATAAGCAGTCACGTAGAGATATAGAAATTCTGTAGCAAATCGGGTCAAGTAACATCTTATTCCTGTCTATATACTTCGTTTGTTCATGGTGGTTACATGTCATATATGCCCAACGTAGATTTCTAAACAAAGAGGAAATATCCAGGTCATGAAATACATAACTCCATCCGAACAATGCTATAAATGACGTCAACGCCGTAAACGAAAAAATATCCGAAAAATATCCGAAAATAATGCCGGTTGTCGAATTAGAACGGGGATGAGAAAAATGATAGGGTTGATATGTACCAATATGCCTCAAAAATGAATATATCCAACCAACTCCAAGAAGTCAACCCTAAAACCCAATGTGTCCGAAAGAATATCCCCGAAACGGTGTACTACGGAGAAGCAGCAAACTCGGACTTCCTAGCAGCTGCCAGACGGTTCCGCCGGTTCGTCAGTATACGACGGGAATACGTGTATCCCACGTATGTTATCCCGACGATCACAAGTATACCAAGGGCCACTCGAGAATCCCAGATAAACGCTTGCAAACGTGTTTGGAAAAAAAAAGTGCGTTTGGTACTTCGACGGACAGCAACAAGTTGCGAGAGGGTCGACCAAAAGGATCCAACGAAAGACTCAGCTCGTGTCAGAGCCGTTGCCTCAATAATCGGCCAGTAAGTTGCCAAGCGCCAGTCGTGTTCCTCCTCCGGATGTGCCGCCCTAATGGCTTCCTTGCATTTGTGTGACATCTCCATGAAATGCGCTCGCCCATCTAGTAATTTGACGAGGTCGCGGATAACTTCACCTTCACGATCATCTGTCGCAATAACCACAGGTTGGTCCGGGTTTAGCTGGGTACGTTTCACATTGTCATAAAGGTAGGAGCCCGTCCAATCGCATTTGCCAAATACATTGCGGAGCACGGGAATTTCATTCTGATGACAAGGATCCTTCTGGCCAAAGGAAAGGTCAGACGGCCAAGTTCGAATATGCAACGCAACTGCCTGGGGGAGAAGGTCAGGTAGCATGTCCTTCACGCAGGCATCGAGAGGCTCTGCAAGTCTGAAGAAGCGTGCGGCCTTTCTCCATGGCCCAGCTCGAAGTGGAAGAATGAACGAGTCCCGTACAAAGTTGAACGCAGAACGCTGCCAGTATGATTCACTTGGAGCAGTAATGCGTACAACTTGCTCTGGCGCCTCGGTGATTTCGCTCGCGAAGTCCACGACCAGAGTAGATGCGTTTTGTAAACTGGTAGCGAGTTGGGGCCTCGCATCGTATCCCAGTTTTTCAAGCCCGGCTGCGTCGAAAACATCAGTGACGGGTATCAGCTGTGATGTAGCAACACCTCGGACAGCCGGACAAGTAATTCCCGGCGAGAGCAGTCTTCGTGTTGGAAGAGGGTTGTTAACTGCCGATGCAAGGTGAAGGATGAACTGATTATTGAAATATGCGAAATCTGGGTTATCCCACTATAAATTTACGCAAAAAAGTCAGCGTAACCGTATCCATTATCCATGAGCATGGAAGTGCCCGTACAGTGAAATATTTTTGGACGCCAGTGTGAACCAGAGGCTGTCTCCATTGAGGCAAATAGAAAAGCGTTATTGTAACGAGAAGGATTGCTGCAAGCACGAGGCCGCGGAGAGGCCATCTCATGATTTCGATTATAAATGACCGATCATCGATAACGTCCTTCTTTGGCCAAAAGTAAAAATGTTGGCTCCTCTGGGTGAATTTGGGAGAGGTGTTTCTGATCCTGGGAGAGAAATTCCCAGTTGAGCCCCTACACGGCGTAGCCTCCAGGCTCGTTACGGTGTAGTGTGGCCAGTAATCTGTACGGAGTGCAAGCCACACACCACCACCACCACCACCACCTTTGAAGAAAATCTCGGCATTGGTTGAATTGGTCAGGATTGGTAGCTCAGCGGCTAATGGAAATTGACCAGGATTCTTGATCGGACATACACAAGTATCCAATTCATCAATTCATGGTTTGACAGGGACGATTTATAAGGCCAAATGAAGACCGTCTGAGTATCATTCAATTCGATGACAGCCTAAAAGAATGCGTCCAGGGCGGATGTCTTAGGAGTGCATTTTTTTGAGTTCAAGGGATCCTTGCTCTCTCTCTGTACTCCGTAGTTACATGAGGAGGAGTGATAGTTCGGGTTAAAATTCAACGAACTTGAAAACAACCTACTTTGTAAATGATCCTCTCTTCATCTTGGCTACTTTACCCGCCCAGGAAGACACGAGCAAAATCGTCCTACGCTGTAAGCATACTCCGTACGGAGTACTCTGGATCAAAAACAACTCGGATCTTGAGGACACAGCAAAGACAAGCCGCCTCCCAGCCCAGGCAGGACGGGAAACTGCGTACGGAGTAGAATTGTGTGTGATATGAGAGCAAGAGCAGGGCAGGGATCCTGCAACGCCAAGTGTGACATGGAACTTTTGCCTGCACCTATATATTATAGAAAAACCAACTTTTCTGAGCAAAATGCCCTGTAATGTGTGGCTGTAAGACTCTATTAATCTTCATTCTTTCCTTTACAGATGTTCTCTACTGTATTTACATTCTTTATACGGAGTACTCTTCTCTACATTCATTACAATCTATACATTCATTAATATACTCATTTCATGCACTGCTGCTCAGTGCGTGGGAATTCTCATCCTCTCAGTGCATTTGAACAGCCTCCATTCATTTATTATCTCTCTATCTCTTCTCTCTATTTATTATAGAAAAACCAACTTTTCCATGTGCACCCCATCAAAAATATTTGAATGCTCTGACTCATACAGCTCAGATCAATCTTCAAATCTTCATTCGTTTTTTTCATTCTGCTCTTTTCATACATTCTCTACAGTATTTACATTCCTTATACTTTTCTCTATATTTATTTTTGATCTCTGTGATTCATGGCATGCACTGCTAAATTCTCTGTAACATGATCTCATGTGATGTCATGTGCACCCCTTTGAATTCAGATGGGATTGAACAGCTGGCTCTGCAGTTCTGTATGGCTCTGATTAATCTGATGATGGTGATAGAGGTGATACGGGGTGGAAGAGAGTGGTAGGGGGCCTGCAAGATCGCACCTTCTATTCTAATCAGGTTTTGAAAGCACCTAACATATTGCTTCGCTTCGCTCCGCAAATAAAAATATACATAGTTAGTTATACAGCGTATAAAATTGTGGCCTCGCAGCCTCTCTCACCTTTGCGTGCTGGCGCGGAGCTAAGAAATTCCTTGGAAGTCTGGCGCGGTAACGTGATCGGTGAGCTTCCGAAACAGGCGCGGACTTCATCAGGCTCCGCTCGACTCTTGCACTTGTTACGGAGTAACATGTATAAGAACTAACGCTATTTCACGTCCATCAGAGATTTAACTTCCTTTTTTATCCAGTGCCCGGGCTTATGCCCCTTAGCTGCCCTATTATCTCAGTTCTCCGTTTGTTACTGCTCCTACTGAACTCTTCTCAGGAGTAGCATGGTCATCCTTCTAAGGAGGATGATAAGACACGATACTGAATATCCCAGAATAGCTTAAAGTATTAGTGATGGAGGGTACCCAGAGTAATAATACAACTGAGCAGCATCGATATCATAGCACCCATCCCGATATCTCCTCCAGTTCTCCACAAGCGCTGCCACCAAATATGCAGTACGCCGTGGCTGGGGCTGAAGATGTTGACATGGTTTCGGGGAGTGAATCCGAACCTTCTGCTAGCGATACACATTACGGACATGGAGGCCATGATTATTTCAGCAGAAGGAGACACCAGAGGTATTCAAGTGAACTAGAGCCGCCCACGGACAATCCAGACTTTCATATTTCTGAACAAAGCCTGTAAGATGATAGATACATGTTGAAAACCCTTGCACAGTTATATGTTAAACTAACTTGATCTGGTAGGAGTGAATCTGAAAGCCTTGAAGAACCCGATCATTTCGGGGAAGATGTCGACCCCGACTTGGGGTTGTATGGCCGTAGGGGTAGAAGGGGCCGCCAATCTATTGGCAGGCCATATAATTTCGGTGCACGAGGTGGGAAAGGCATCAAAAGAGGCCCCAGGAAGCCGTTAGAACCCAGCTTGGAGTTCAAAAATTTACACTCTGAGGCAACATCGGCGTTTATTGATGCCGACTATGAGAGAGCCACCGTTCTTGTGAAGCAGGCCATTCAGATAAATCCTGAAATGTTTGCTGCCCATTCTCTCTTATCGGAAATATTTCTTGCGCAAGGCCAAGAGGATAAGGCTCTTGCTGCACTATTCAGTGGCGCACATACGCGACCAAAAGATCCGTCCGTCTGGATGAAAGTTGCGAAATTGATCTTAGAAAGAGCGGGGGAAGATCGGACATCAGCATTACAAGATGTAATCTACTGTTATAGCCGTGTCATTGAGATCGATCAAAAAAATTACGATATCCGATTTGAAAGAGCTGCGGTATACCGCGAATTGGGTCATAATGGGAAGGCTGCTCAGGAGTATGAAAGATTACTAAAGGATCTACCGCACAATACAACAGCGCTCCGTCTTCTCGCGGAGACATATATTGATCTCAACGAAGTCGATAAAGCAAAAAGTCGATACGACGAAAGCATCGCATATTACATGTCCCTAAGTTTGGAGGAAGCCACCGACTTTACCTGGTCCGATGTGAACATTTACGTTGAATTTTTTGGCTATCTGAACGACTATGAACAAGGAATATTTATGTTAAAATCACTTTCTAGGTGGCTGCTGGGCCGGAAAGAAGATGCGGAGTGGGACAATATTGTTGAAGACGACCGGGAGTTTGATGCCGAAGACTCCCCTCGTCGAGCAGACATCACATTCTTTGTCCCAAATCAATATCCCATCGAGGTTTACGGGGCGGGTCTACCCTTGGAGCTTCGCGTGAAACTTGGGATATATAGGTTAAAATTGGGCCTCCAGTATAGAGAAGAGGCGTTGGTAAGTGCTCCTATTTAGTCGTTTTCTCGAGTAGCGAAGCTAATTGCCAATTAGTCTCATTTTTCGTGGCTAAACCCGGATGACTCCTCGGAAGGCGCTCTGCTCTATGATTTCGGTGATCTGTTTAGGGAGGTGGGAGATGCGCTAAAAGATGCTAAATTATATCAAGATGCACTACAGTTTTACGTGCCACTTCAGAGGACCCGTGAATACGCAGATACTAGTCTTTTTATGTCCATGGCCGAATGTTATATCGCCTGCGAAAATGATGAAGCAGCTGAGAACTGTTACTTAACAGTGGTTGAATATGATGAAAACGATATTGAAGCCCGTGCCAAATTAGCAAAATTTTACGAAAACTTAGGATTGATTGAACAAGCTTTGAAATATGTCAACGAAGCGATTGAATTAGGAAGGCAGGAGTCGATGCCAAGGCGAAGGCGAAGGTTTGGTTCCAGAGCTCTACAGCTTGCGAGAGAGTTTCGCTCAACGGAATCTGGGGGGGCTGTGATGGCAACGTATGAGGGCCCGATTGGGGCAGAAAACGAAGGCTGGAGATCTCCCACCCCTTCTCCCAGTGTGTCTGGTGGACTTATGACTTCTACTGTACCCCTTTCTAAGAAACGGAGGCAAGCAAAAGAAGAGTATGTCAGCACCGACCATATAAGGTATTTGTACTCTAAATTGTTAGATCTTGAAGCAGCAATGAGAGAAGGCCATGAGGATGCGACCGAGGATTGGTTGGATATCGCGGATGCTCTGTTGCGGGATTTTCGGTCAAATCGCGTCTTTTTCCCCATGCAAAGACATATGATGTTTCTGGGATATTCTAGAGAAGCCCAACGGAAAGCTGGACGCCTGAAATCAACAACCATCATGGATGAAGTAGAGGAAATGGCTGGACGGCTTCAAGCCACATTAGGTGAGCATTACCATCGTTTGATATTGCTGAAATACCATTGACTAGAGATCTAGGAACCCCCGAAATTGATCCTGCGACGATCCCAAATGATTATCACTCTATATCATTCGATCAGTGGTTGGACATATTTCTGGAGTATGCTCTTGTCCTTTCAGGGCAAGGCCAATCAGAAGAAGTCTACGACACCCTCTCTGCTGCAGCCGATGCTAGCGTTTGGTATCATTCCAAACACAACAAATTCCAAATTTACACCTGCTGGTTCAGTACGTAGATTACTTTCGGCCCTCAAACTTTATGTCGTATGACTCTAACTGCCAGTAACAGCTTGCGCGCTCCGGCTCAAGGACGAAGAAACGCTCTCCAACATCTCCCGCTGGTTCATGAAAGAGTACCAATTCGTAACTGACACATACCGCCTGTTCGCAACACTTAGCCGACTTTGTGGTGACCCGCGAAAATCCCTCTTTCATTCGTCCCCCAGCATGAAATTCATGCTGCGCCAAATAAAAGCGATTGACTATACTCTCCCGGATGACCCCCTGCGGCCTACCCAAGCCCGCCGCACCCGAGCTTCTGTTTTCCAAGAGCGTGCCACTCTTACCACCAAAGACGAATCTGGTCAACCCATTCCTGCAGAGGATATGGATGTCCCACTCCTAGTGCTATACGGACATATACTCTACGCCGGGACAAGTTTCACAAACGCGCTCAACTACTTTTTCCGCGCATATGCGCTAGCACCAGAAAACCCCGTCGTACTCTTATCTATCGGCCTGAGTTACATCCACCACTCTCTCAAGCGACAATCTGACAACCGACACTATCTCATCATGCAAGGACTCTCGTTCATGCAAGAATACCGACGTGTGAGAGAAACAAGCCCAATTCCACAAGAGCGGCAGGAGGTGGAATTCAATTTCGCGCGGGTCTGGCAGATGCTGGGTCTGACGCATCTGGCTGTACAGGGTTATCAGCGATGTCTTGCGCTCAGTGGGGAGATAGAGGCTGAGCGAGAGAAATTTAAGAAGCGGAAAAATATGCCGGCGGTTGTTGGTGGCGGCGGGCGTCCAGATGAGCGCGTCTGGGTGGAAGATTTTACTCGTGAAGCTTCCTTTGCTTTGCAATGCCTCTATTCATTCAACGGCGAAACAAAACTGGCGAAGGAGATTACCGATAGGTGGCTTGTCATTTGAATATAGCATCTCATTGTATGATATGGTACACGAATCTCACGCGCCAGAATATATGACGCCACGATGGAATAAGTTGTTCTTGACTTACTCTTCTAACTCGTTAACAAAATAGCCTGAAGACTTGTGGGGTATATAGATATACTCAAAAACGGACTGCACAGGTATGCTAAATATCAATGTCCAATCCCGCATCAAGCGTATATGCCAGACATTCGACACCTACTGTGACATTAGAATCGCTCTCCAAATTGGCCCAGCTTGCTGACATTGGGAAAAAAAAAAAAAAAAAAAAAAAAAAAAAGTTCAGACAGTCCCACAGGATGTAAAAAATCAATCATCCAACTCTCATCCCTCTTTCTTGACTTCTTAGCAGCTGTTCAATCCTCACTCGGCCCAGCCTCGTCAAGGTCATCGAAAAAAACAGCTGACTGCCGTCGAATCTCTTCAAGAACGCTGCTGCGACGTTTTAGATGTGGTCTATTATCTGACTCTGGAACTCGTGCATTGCCTGTGCCGCCATACCCATCCTGCCACTTATCCAAGTCTTCCTGCAAATAGCTACCAACCTGTTGGTCCAATTCACCGTCGTTGGCGGATGCGTCAATTTCAGGTGGCAAAGGCGTATTAATATGGCGAGCAAAAGCACGACCATCGCGCTTCAGCGCCTCGGAGATCACCTTCTCGAGCTTCATCCTGTTCTTGATAAATTGTATCTTCGGGAAGGTGCTATGTTGGCCTTCTTGTATCATGTGCGATAATCGATCCGGGGTAGGGTCAGTCAGGATGTAATATAGATCAGAGAGACTAGTTTTTGGCCAAATAGTAACAATTCCGCTGAACCGTTGCAGCCATATTTCACTCCAGTCCTGACCCAGTGGCCGAGGAAGAAGTTCGAGATGTCTGAGGACTTTGAGCCATTTGTTGAGGTCCAATTTAATGTATTGTTCTGTGGCCGATCCTAGGAAACCCCCGCGCCAACCACGGCCTTTACGATGTGTGACAGGACGGCCAACGCTCCCCCTGGAACTGAAAAAGAATAAACTTATGTGGGGATTAACCTAGAATGAAATTAGTCCCAGCATTCTAGCATGGCACCAAGGGCAAATTAAATACTTACTTGAGACACGATAGGAAAGTTGGCATTGAAATGTATATCCAATGCCTTCAGCGGTATGTCAGTCCGGAGACTACCGTCTTTCCATTTATGGCCAAAGGAATAGGGGGCGAGCGTTCCATCAGGCTTCTTCATCATCAGCACGACAGGATTTAGTATACCGGGAACAGCTGCGGAGGCAATGACTGCGCTCCATATGACACAATGGGGCGATGTGAGATAGTTTGCCAGAATTGTAGGAGAGTGAGGATCCGACGGAACGCATGAGACGTTTAAAATCCGTCCGGTGCGCTGATACGCCTCCAAGAATGTAGTAGAGCCTCTGCAGAACCAGCTGCATTTTTCAGCCCAGTCGAGCGTGTCAAACCTAGCTCCCGTTCGCCACCATCGCCGTATCCAAACTTGTAACGGGTCTTCACAGGCCTTAATCTTATAGGCCAGCTCTGGTACAAGTAACTTTTTAAGCTCCTCATCGGTCCTAGTTGCTACCAGCGCGGCTACAAGGGCCCCTCCAGAAGTCCCCGAAATAATATCAGGGAGCACACCATTATCAAGGAGAGCTTTGGCGACCCCAAAATGATAGTATGAGAATGTAGCTCCTCCAGAAAGACACAACGCCGTGCGACCATAGTTAGTCTCCAGGTGCTTGAAAAAAGCTTCCTTCGTCTCCTGAGGGATATCTTTGGTTCTAAGGATGAGCTGCAACGAGGCATGTACTTCGTCGATGAATTGTTGAACTAGGTGCTTGGTTCCAAAATATGTCTCGCTGTACAGACGTGGGTTCTCAACACCAGCGAAATTATGCTTGACACATCCTTCCAGCAACACACGGAGGTCTTCCAGCAACGGGCCGAGCTTTACAGAATCATCGCCCTTTGTTTGCGATTGTTCCACCTTGGCCCTTAGCGCCTCCAGCTGGCTTTTGACCCTACTGACGGTTCCATGGTCGTAATATGCATACTCGTTCACGTCTTTCCATTTGTCATTCCCCAAATAGGAGTCCAGCTTCTTGGCTGCCTCCTTCCATTCGCCATAGTTTCTTGTAGTTCTCATCTGCCTTCTCAACGTTTGCCTCTTTCCTCTCCAAGTGATTAAATGCTCGTAGAGGTAAATATATAGCCGAGTGAGAATGTAGAGAACGCTGAGAACCGAAATCCAACCCAAGGCGAGCGAAAGCAAGGGCCATTTTAGGATTGTATACAAATACCCTTCCCTCGTTTCGTCAACTGTTCTGTTGGCCTTGCGACGCTGTCCTGGTTTCCGCACTCTCTGATGTATGGGGCGCCAGTCATTAATCGCAACGAGAGGTGCAGCTTCCGGCGCGCTGAGGGCGTTCTCGAAGTGCTCGAGCTCCTCGTCCTTGATGAACCTCTTGTTGAAGTCGGGAAGCCCATAGGTCTCCTCATCCTCCTGCGATGAACCCATCCCTTTTTCGCACGTACACTCGATCCAAAATTTATTTCTCAAAATGGAATCAATCCATTTTTGCAGGTCTAACGTAACGTCAAAAACTGCTGATAGCTTCTCAAAATCGAGGTTGAAGTGCACAGCCACGTCAAGTCATAACGGAGTATGCTCAGCGTCATTTCATATTTCAGCCACATATCTCACGTGACATGCCTGCAGCCCGAATGTTTATTACCGCTCTATGAAACTTTATTATCAAGGCCGAGACCTCTGTCATATCCCCCCCAATGTTAATATGGGCCTATAATCCCTTCGTTGAAGCTTATTAGCTGTGAGCATCCCATTACAGGTGGTATAAACCGAATTGCAACAGGAAACTATTAAAGCCGCTCATACTTTACGCTGCGTATACATAACCTGGGCGAGAGAGATGTTACATATTTGACCGATTTCAGGATGTCATCGCCACTGGTCTGTCCACTACATTCATTGATATACAGCTGTGACACATCAAACTCAGTTATCGACATGAACGGGGAGCAGATGCAGGCAAAGATATAAAAAGACGGTGAACAAAGCTCCGCTGTCGCAGGTTTAACCTGCCCGTGGCTAGCTTTCCACAGGGTATTCCGTGCCAATGATGTCAGCGAAATAGATATCTGTCGCGTCAAAAATGAGAGAAGGACTACAATCACAAATGAATGCTGATTGCAAAGCTTTAAAAACTATAAGAAGGAAAAGAAAAAGAAAATACAGATGAAGGGAGGATAAAGTGCGGCCTGGAATATTTTTCAAATCGGGACAGAGGACACAGCCAGCCACCTAGGTCCCTGTCCTGCGAGCTTCCCAGATCACCATCCTTCAAAATATGAGAGGCAGAGCCTGCATACTTGCATTTTTGATACATGCATTTGAGAAGAAATGATCATACCCTATGGAAGCGAATAATAAGAATAAAAAGACAGACGGCGAGAAAAGTCTAACTACAGCTCAGCTAAGCCTTGCGCCACCTATATTCAGTCCAACAATGTTCGGTGCCAAAAGCATATTTACTCCTTTTCATCCAAGTTCACAATTTTTAAAATTAGTACTTGCGGGTCCATTGTATGCTGAGGCCCCAAGTATTGGAAGCATAGTATTTATCCACTACTAGGTAACGTCTGTTTGTTTGCTAAGTTACCGATGAAAAAGAGTGTCGCACAATGGAAAGAGGATATTGCCAACCGCAGATGTTTAATAACGATATATGTGCCCGCATTCACTCCGGTTTTACCTAATACGAAATACCAGATGGCCAAATTGCTCAATTGGGACATTGACAGATGTGCTTGCGACGTCATCGCGCAGTTGAGATACACTTGTGATCCGGGGATAGCGTCATGATTCGCACAAGTTTTCGATATTTTCATACCCGCAGGTTTAGATTTTATGGGGCTTAGTGCTCACCGTTAATCAATGGGAAGCCGCAAACTTTTCGATAAATTGGTCCATAATATCTCTGAGAGATAGCCTTAGAAGGCCGCAAAGCGATAGGTGAAGGAGAGCTTTGGTTCAGGTCGGATGGTGACCGTCATAACTATATATTACTTGGCCTATCACAATAGTCCTGATCGAAGGTGATATTCTCACATGACGAATATCCGCGATAACTTACTACCAACGACGAGCTAAAATGATGAACAAAACCCTTACTACCGGCTAAGGCAATGTCAATCAATTTAATCTCACGATGAATCATAGGATTAGCCAACAACCTCTCGCCGTGACGCTTTTAGAGGCTAACTACCCTGCCAATAACCATAAATATATTTCCACCACTCTATCCATGCCATTCGCATACCCCCATACCCCCCCCCCCCCCCCCACCATTCCAACAAAATCTGACTGCAATTCGAGTGCGAAGCGTGGTCAGCCTTTAACACACGGGTCGGCTTGGCATCTGCTTCCCCGTGGGGGCCAAGGTCAAAGAGGGTGAAGTTCGCGATGGGGCAAAATGTTTTCTCCGAAGTTCAAGGATTAACGCCAACCCCTCCAACCCTAATGTTGGCCCCATCTCAACGATAAAGTACTCCGTAGGTAGTCAGAAACGGCGATAGACGAAATGGCCATGTATTCGAGATTCAAACTTTTGCCCTATTCCTTAAAGACTTCCATATCACACAATGCCACCGGAAAGTTGTTTCTGAGAGCTGATCATCCAGCTGCCAAAAGCACGGAATTCAAAGAATGATGTGGGGTAGATCAAGTAGGTTGTTTATCATATTCAACTGGATATACACTTAGTAAGATTCAATCCAGTTAAACTCCGACTAACGTTGGAGAGATTTCGAACGTCGTTAGTTAATAGTGGAGTCTCATCAAACGCACACCGGGCAGCACACCGTGCTGATTCCTGAAGAAGGAATGTTAACTGGTTTGCATTAGTTACTGCTGCATCCTCCTCACTTAGTTACTAGTGACTAGCCTCAATGATTTCCATGCAATGAAACACAATCAACCAACTAGCAACCACTTGTCGTTTTGAGCGGGGTGGGTGGACGAAAATTGACCCCACACTAGAGAAGAAGGTTGGTTGACCGGGGGGAGACGACCCCCAGGTCATCTCATCACAAGTCTAGTGAAGGAGAAGCGGGGGAGAAGGGCATGAAAATGCGGAAAATCGAATATCATCGGCAAAGATAGGGGGGGGGTTGGGGCAACGTTGCCAGTGAAAATGACAAAGTCCTGAATTCATGATTGGGAAGTTTCTTCACCAGTACCTTGTCTTCATATTTTTATTTTTCGTCGATTTTCTCTCCTGACTAGAAAGTGCCAAGGCAGCTCGCTCGGTGGTTACTTCAATCCAATATAAGCATGATATCCCACCACAGTCTCAGGGCAGATACCAGTCAGACTTCCTCTTCCCACAAACTAACACCGGTTAGGCTTCGCACAATCCGAAATTCCACGCCCAGGTGAACGGACACAAGACTCTCCCTTCGCCTCTATCTTGGGTAGGTGGGGTGAAAGGAGTGCATTTCAGACTCCCAAGACTGATAAAACGTCAACCTACGCTATATTGCCGGGGAAGACTTCCAGAGGGGCGCATCATGTACAGAGGCAGGATGACAACGCTAAGCACAGCACCGGGGGGGGGGGGCGGGGGGGCGGCCGCTCGGAAAAATTAGGCAACAGGGGCCAAAATAGCCAAGGTGTCAGGGATTTCCAACCGTGATCATTCAGGCAAAACAGTTTGAACCACTGCTTGCATAAAATCCGATACGTTTTATTGTGCGAATGCGTACGCACACATGTTACAGTTCTCTCAAATTTTATATTTTTCCTTCTTCCACGTGAGTAAAGGATGGAGCGCCAGGATTCTAATTTCACCAACTATTCAAGCATGGCGTGTGGTCAAACCTTGGAAGTTGGCATGGCTGTCACGTGGGATGATTGGGGGAAATCGTCTAGATATATTGGGATGGACATAAATTTCGTGTCTGAAATTTTTCGGAATTGGATATATTGAGCAAACATGTGTCCGGAAATCGATAATTGGGCGTGAGAACGAGTCAAAAACCAAATGATGAGCCATGTTGTGGAACGATATGCCATTTCATGTGTTCATACTACATCATTATTTTGAAGGCTAGTGATATTCCTGAGGATGTTGGAAGCACTAGTATGCCTAGGTCAACAATCGTGCTGTCTCCTTAAGTTCCTGCAAGACACATTCCCGATCCAACCTTAGATCTTCTCAACAACCAGCGCTGCATTACTCCGTACAATGAATTGAGTGGCAGTTTGTCTGTATATAGCAGGATTAGGAGGGCTCGAGCTCCCTTCATAGCTTGTTCCACTATTGCCCAGAGTTAATGGTATGTCGTTATGTGCAGAGAGCGGAGGTGCTGGTTTGAAAGTTCTTTTATAGTTGCCCAGGGGGGCGTATTGGCAGATGAGCTAGCGCTAATTTCCGGGCCACGCGGGCCGACAGGAAACCCGCGACCAAGGAGATAAGATATTCGAATGCCGGGTTGCTGCGCAGTAGTACATATGTATGTGCATGTGGATGTGGATGTATGCACTAAGCAATAGCGCAGAAATCAGCAAGGATGAACCGCAGGATTTGGTGTCGAAAATCTTGAAAAGGTTAGGGTGGGGCTTATTTCATCTAGTTTGAACGGTGGAAGCGCTTTTTTCGGCCTACTTTTAGCTTCTTCCTTTTGTATATTTTCCCTTCTTGGTGGGAGGGAAATACATAAAAGAAAATGTCACACGGTCACATCATCAGAGGACCCTGTTTTGATCCCTCACGACGGACAATGCAAGGAATTCGGGTGTGGGAGTGTGGATGAGGGGTGACCAACCTATTGGTTAGCGCGCCGCGGTAACCGCAGAATATAGCCCTGTTGCATTATCCTGTATTTTCTCCGTATTTCAGGACCAAACGTTTCCTGCTCTGGTGAAAAGAGAAGAAGGTGGGAAGGAAAAAGGGGAACAAAAGGAAAAATCCTTCTTGTGCCCTTTTCTTGTTGATTCTTCCCCGCTGTTCTATGGCACGGACCAAAGCCATGTGTAGTAAAATGGCGGAAGATAAGCCACACCGGAGTAGTAGATATATATGAACAAGAGGGCGAAGAAACTTCCCTGGCGCTGTAAGCTATTTATGGGTGTGCTCCACAATAGATAAATTAGCCAATAGGTTAACTATTTGAGATCATATTGTTTGCGATTGTTGTGTGGTGGCCCTGGTGGATTTTCTCGGGTTTGGAGTAGTTGTCCTGGGAGAGTTTGATAGAAATTGCACGGTGATGAGTCTATGGCGTCTTTCTCTATCATTTAAAGTGGCGAGATAACCATTATTTAATTAATTATTGGAGGTAGCGGAAACCAACTGGGATTTGAAAGATATAAGGCCATGGAACAGAAACCGTGTGTGGCTCTGGCGAACTGGGTTGTTGATAATCCACATGAGTGTGTTTGTCACTAGTCAAAAAGGTAGTTAGGTATTTAACTATCAATATTGGCTTTTGAGAACTTTCCTTCTCGTTCCTTCAATTTTTCTTTTTTCTTTTTTCTTTTTATTTTTATTTCTTCCTGCCATCCCAAGGTATGGCACGGCCTGATCAACCAATATCACTAATAACAGAGCCGTGCAAAACGGATTATCTGATTAAATTAATATTATATACCTTGGCTGTCGGATCATCCAGATTTCTGGAAAATCACAACATTTTGTGAAAATGCAACCGCCAGACTAGCTTGACGAGTCCAATTATAATTAGACATTGTGGGTGTGGGTACTGGAAAGTGAGCAGCGATTTCGGACCCCCTTCGTTGCCTTCGTTTACGCACTGCTCATTATAGTTAGCCGATGTCAGTGTGCACCAAAAGCTTAAATAATATTGTCTTTGTTGGAGGGATATCCCGCATCCATGGAGACAAGGGTCGGATGTGTTAGAGAGGGGCACAATTTGATGGGTGTGGTCATCAAATCGCAGCAAGTGGAAGACCAGCACCGCCGTGCGGAGCAATAGCGGTGAAGAAATAAAGAAGGGAGCTTTTGATATCTGCTTACTGCATTTTCAATCTATTAATGTTCTGATTATTGACACGCAGCCTTGCCCTCGGACGCAGCTGCGCCTTGACAAATGGGGTAAAACGGTAGAACAAGAGGACAAGGGAACCGGGACTGCCATTCGCAGCGGATCATATCTATTCCGCCCGCATATGCAGAAATGTCAGACTCAATCAAGGGCCGGAATTTAGTATTGTGTATTATTATTATAATTATTATAATTATCAGACGGGGGTGTTATTCTGCACGTAAAATTAGCGCAACATGACTTTCTCACTGCGATTAGTTGTGAATCAATTCCGGTTGTATGTATTTATGCGGCACAATATGCCCCGGTGGCCGAATGGTTAATGCGGCCACCCGGTAGCACCTTGGCGTGGGAAACCAAGGCGCGTGGGTTCGAAACCCGCAGGGGATACATTAAATCCGGAACTCAAGCACCTCAGGTTCCTAATAAATACAGAGGTGTACAAATCGCTCCAATGAATTGCTCTATGTTCCTGGGCTGGGAAGTTATTATCGCATGTATCTAATTGTCACTCCTTTGTATTTTCCTATGTTCTTGTTATCTTGGCGTGGTCTCAACACCTGTATTTCCTCCTGTATAACCAACACTTGACCTGTATTTAACATCACGCAAGGACTCATCATAAGCTCCGCTTGCATATGAGTATAATGGAAGAATAATAATAATAATAATAATAATATGCGGCACAATATGGCGATGAGGTGCTGATAATTTATGCACTAGTTACGGGGATCGACCAGCCTGTGAGTGGGAGCGCTTTGGCTACCCAGCCTCGAATTAAATCAGTGTAAGCGCCCTAGCCTTGTGGCTTGTCTGACATGTTGCATAATTCATGAGACTCGTGAAAAAAATTGCGAAAATTTGTAGACGGCTTATTAGCGATCTCCTGGCATGATATCATATTAGTGCTTCTGGTATTATTAACCGGACAACATACCTAGGTAAAGTATTACTATTGCAACTCTCTTCGTCTCTTGTCAAACTTGATGGAATAAATTTACCGTGTATTTGGCTCTTGGGAGTGTTCCCAATCAAATGAACCAATGTCATGGTTCTTTATTCCAACGTCGGCGATACCTAGCTATCCTCATGTTAGCCTTAGCGAGAATAGCAACCACCGCCGACGAATGACGTTTGAGGAACAGTATTTCGCCACCGGTCCCTTCATCGTCGCAGCATAAAAGTAGCCTTGTGACACCCAAAAGAGGGACCACTGGTGGTTTGAGGGCGGGTTTGTGTTGAATGCGCGAGGTAAGCTGAATATTGCAGGATTAATCAATCGATGTCAAACCACCACGGGTTGGAAACAACCAGTATGATTTCTTACATGCCTAGTTTTGAGTGTATCCTGAATCTCCTCTCAGAGCGATGAAAGCTGTTACTGAGGCCCTTGTACATGTACCTCCATGTAACTCCAAATTTCTGCTGAAAGTTATGTGGTTAAGACAAATTCCTGTCTCTCTTTCCGGAACCCATATTGTGTAAAATTGGTCTGTTGGGTCTTTTCTACCCTAACTTAATTATTGGCGCCTCTGTTCTGACCGAAACTTATTGGAGACATGCCACTTGTCCCGGCGGGATGATATGTTGCTCTTATCGGAACATCATTGATTGATTAAGCGGGGATGGGAAGGATTGAGCCGCAAAACCAACCCCAATAACGTCATCAAAAGGTGGGTTGAAGTGTAGGCGCGCTTAGAGTTAGCGGGCCCACAGCCGCTCGCAACAAGGGCTCTCTCCAGAGCTTTGGTGAACTCAAACATGCTTACGTCCGTCCCGTCCATCGGATAATATATTTTTTCTTTTTCCTTTTTAGGTCGAACAGTTGGAAAACAGGATTACGAATATTGTATCTGCCAGCCGCCTCAAGCAAGAACCCGATAAGCGAAGACAAACCAACTCGGCAAGAATAATATAGTCCTCAGAAGTCCGAAAAAGAAAATCATGAACAGCAATCTCCACTCTCTCACGGAGTATCTATTCCCTGAACGATTGAGGAGCATGGATCCATTATAAAAATTTTAACCTTATCAAATCGTATCATCATTGTAGGTGTCACCACTCACCAGCTCGATGACTTCGAAGACCGAACCATGTAGCCCTAGGCACGACTAGTAGTATCAATTTCACCTGAGCGTAGTGTGCAGGGAGTGCAGGATGATCTTGTCCCATGGAAGTCTCGTTTCACCTCCGCAAGTCACGGAACGGTCTCAACTCAAAATACGTCGAAGTGGCAGCCCGGCAATGGATGCATGGGTGTGCTGGACTGGCTAGTTAGGTCCATCAATTCATTTTTCATGAATAGAAAGAAACCAAACTGACGGGACAGCTTCCCAATTTTTTTTAATTTTCACCTCAACCCTCGTACGGCCTCGGTTTTGTGGGACAAGTTTCGAACGAAGCTTCGCTGTTTTGTTTCTCTCTCTTTGAGTTGGATTGATATTTTTTAATGTCAACCACTGGGAAGAGAGCATGTTTATTCTGAATTGGCGAAACCCGTTTCACAGGAAAAGTTACTGGTAGTCTGGGAATGACCGTAAGTAAACTCCCAGACTGACCAAATTGGGTAATCCCGTATACAGTTCCGGCGCCAGGGGAAAATAACGAAACTGTCTGACCAGGATAAAGAGCCGTCGTTTCGCCAGCTCTTTACGCAGTCAATAACCACCACATCTAATGATTTTGAGGGGGGGTGATGACTCTGATGAGGATGACGACAGGAAACAGAAGGGTGGCCAACAGATCAACACATTGTAGGGTTATTCCAGGGCTTCCCATGAGCCAGGTGATTAAATATGTATGATATATATCGTCATTCCTAGGCCATGTGGGAACGAGGGGGAGTTGAAGTGAGGAACAATTGGGTGAATGTTGAATCCATGGAGTGATCATCTGCATCGTGAACCTTCTTAGTGGTTGGCCGCGTGAATGTGGGTGATTTGTGCCACATGAAGGGAAGAATTCCGTCAAATAATGATGGGTACCTCGCGGTACATCAGCGGCGTTCAACTGCCAGCCGAAGAACTCTTAATCTCGCCAGCCACCAACCACACGCGCAGGCCCGAGGGCAGACAAGACAGGCCAAGCAAGCCCCGCCAGCTTGCTGTTTCCTTCCCAAGATAGGCTTAACCAGCCTACGAGGGCCCCTCCGAGAATGGCTCCGAAGATAGCAAAGTCCGCGCCGTAACACTGCGCTGGGTGAGGGGGGCCGAGTGCCAGTCGTTAAATAACAGCCTGTACACAGTAGTAAGCATGGGCTGGGAACAGATTTGAGGAAGCAGGGATTCCGAGGGGCAAACCGGGGCAGGCAGACTAACTGGGAGCGTGCAGCAGCTAGTGTGAAGGGGGCGGTCCTCTGGCGCTATCATGCCCGTATGCAGTCTGTTGCATCCACTACAAATCCCTCGTCTGGCAGTCCGGTCCCATGCACGGTGCAGGCTTGCCCTTGGCTGACTGCCCCTCCCCAATCAGAGGCGGCGGCGAGGTGAATTATGTACGTAGTATGGAGAAATACACAGTAAGAAATATCAGCTCTTGACCAGCCCATCATCCCTTTCAGTGTTTTCCGCTCTGGGTAGTTTCCTCCTCCCTGTGGTTCCTATCCCGCACACCCACCTCTTTATTTTTCCCTCCTCGTCCTCTTCCTCTCGTCTTCCTCCTTTCTCCCTTCTCTTCTCTTCTGCTCTTTTGTTTTCCCTTTACCCTGTCTCTTTTTGAACAGCGGACAACTCGGTTGGAGGAATCGTGCTAGGACCAACACTTATCCCTCTCCCTCTCCCTCTCTCCCTCTCCCTCTCTCCCTCTTCCCTTCTGTTGACTGGCCAATTGAGTCGACGAACCTCATCGGTCTTTTCTCTCTCCCGCTTCCCCCAAAGCCCAGCAGCATCGTGTTGGGATTATTTGTATTGTATTGTGGATTTTCATTCTTCTCTTGTCGGAGACGGGTATCTGTTTTCCACAGTCCGTCTCTAGTTTCTGCCTTCTTTTTTGCCTTTTTTTCCCTTGGGGCTGTCCCGGTGACCAAACCCAAAACCCCCCCGCCCAGTTCTCTCCGTGCACATGAACCCAAAAGACGTGATCCTTTGACCACTTCGCCACGGGCTTCGTAATATTCCTGTGCAGTCAATTTGATTTTCCTTAAGAGAATCCTCGTTCTTGACTCTTTCTTGACTCGTTCCTTTTAAGCCCTTGCCCCGAGTGTCTTGTTGGAAAGTGCGGGCATTTTGAGTCACTCAAGCTTCAAAGTCACTGTTGTGGTGTGCGCGTCCATTTTGAGCCTCCTGTTGTCATCAAAACAATCTCCGGTGTTGGTGGCAGCCTTCTCCCTCCTTTCCGTCTCGCAACCGCAACATCCGCATCTTCCTCAGCCCACCCTCCCACCACGACGCCCTATATCTTCTTGGATGCGCTCAAAATGTCCTCTCATCCATATATAGTCTCGTTCTGTCAGTGAACAAGTCCCGCTTTCTCCTTTAGACTGGACCCAGAACTCCTTGGGCAGCGACCTCGTCATTATGGAGAAACTCAACACTGAAGATGGCCAGCTCTTCATCAAAGTAAGTGCCCTATTTCTCGCCAAAACCCTCTATTGCAGCGGGTTCTCTCATCAAGTGGTTAATTTACATGCCTAACTTGTTAAACGTGCTTGCTAGAACCTGGCCAGCTTCGTCCGTACTCATGAGAAGGCCCTCGCCAACGCTTTGCAGATGAAGCGTCAACCCTCCAAAGCATCAGACTCTTCCACCCGTTCCGCTACTTCCTCTACACTAGCTGCTGCGTTATCCTTGGGGACACTGAGTTTCACATCCCACAACATTAAACCTGCAAAACTCACCCTGACTAGCCATCATCTTTTCTACCTTTTATCCCGGTTTGAGGACATATCCATTCCCGTGGGGCCCATGAACATCCGCTTGGAAAACATCAATACAGAGGCTTCGTCTGCATATGTGTCTTTCTTAAGCAAACCACGTCGCTCCAAGGGAGACAGAGACTCGATCCATTCTGTATCCAGTGTGCGTAGTGTCATGTCCGGTATGAGCTCGCTCTGGTCCTCATTTGGCCTAGGATCCAAAGACTCTGTCTCCAAATCGGAAAAAGCCAAACTAGCCATTGAAAATGACCTAAAATATTTGTATTCGGCCTTTACTAAAATCCCCTGTTTGAGACTTGCCCCGGATCACAGAGCTCGCCTTATTCGTGGATACGAGGAATTCCCCTTTGACACAGCTGTCCCACTCCATTCGTTTAAAAACCTCAGCGCCCTGGAGATTATCGATGTAGATTTCCGTTCCTTTTATGGCTGGGATCGTCTAGCTGAACAGTTAAGATCCCTTACTCTTAAACGTGCCAGTATTGATGACCCTACGGACCTCTTGACCGGGATCGTTCTGGATGACCTTGACAAACGGAGACGGAGATCCTCCAAATATCAATCATCTCCAGTTCTCGGGGCTTCTTCCAACCCCCAGACATTCAATAAACCAGACCTGGCGAAATCCATGTCGGCACCTGGTTCTCCAGTAGCTGAGCCCAGTTTAAGCACAAGTTCCAGCCCAAAAGGCAGCGCCTCCATGGTCAGGGGTTTCTCTGAGGGTGGGAGAAGACATGCTCGAACAGAAAGCATTTCACCCACACGCCCCACTAGTTCAAGACACCAGTCTCATCGCAGAGGAACGTCTTCCAAAATACGCAGATCTGGGTCTGGGAGTTCCAATTCTAGCGAGGCTTCCTCCCACCAGAGGAATGGAAGCATGTCGAATTTATTGGCTGCTGGCATCCTTCCTCCATCCAAATGGCGGTTCCTGCGCCACCTCAGCTTGACAGACAACTCGATGACTAGTGTCAGTGTCTCCAGTCTTGCTCCTGTTGCCAATACTCTCCATTCATTGGATTTGTCCTGGAACCTTTTCACCGAAGTCCCCGACAGCCTTGCATCCTTGACAGCTTTGAGATCTTTAAACCTATCTCACTGCATGATAGACTCTCTCCATTCTCTTTCTAGGAACCCGTTGCCTGCCATCACTGCGCTTAATCTTCGAGGAAACCGTCTCCGATCACTCGCAGGAATCGAACGGTTATTGTCTTTAGAGCGCCTTGATTTACGAGACAATGAACTAAGTGATCCCACCGAAATCGCCCGGCTCACTGGTATCCCATACCTACGCGAAATTTGGGTGTCTGGGAATCCTTTCACCAAAACATTTTCGGGATACAGGGTTTCCATATTCAACCTATTCAGACAAACTCCAGGATTCTCTGAGGATATTACTATTGATACTACGGGCCCCGGATATTCGGAAAAGAAACAACTTGTGACTCGTGTCGCAGAACCGGAAGGGGCTCCTGTTATTCGACGTCCAGAACCTGGTAACGAACTTGCGGATAAAACCCAAGATATTTCAGTTGCCTCGTCAGTCGCTGCAATTCGTGCAGATACATCAGCATCTGCCGCTCCTGTTCAAGCAGAATATGCGATAGGCTCTAGTAGGCGGAAAAAAGTCCACAGACGAAAAATTGTCGAGCTCTCCAACGATGATCCTTCTTTTAACATGGTGACTGGCGGCGTGGAAACCGTCGGTTCTGTTTTCCAGCAACCTATCCTCGAACACCCAGCTACGAACCCCGCAGCTACAGCAGAGCAATCTCCAAGCTCAAATAGGATATACAGCAGAATCTCTGACCCCAAGCCGCTTCAGAAGACCACTATTGCTACTATCCCACCCCCAAAAGAATCGCAAAGCAGTCCTGCCTTCGAATCCGCCAAGAATCCCCACTTACTTCCTGCTGTCCAAAATCTCGACTGGAGCGCCAACGGGGACTCCTATCGTCAACGACTCGAAGCGTTGAAGCAAGAAGTTGGAACAAACTGGCTGACAGTGCTTGGCGATGAATCCTGGGACACTTCACAAAAGAATATCAATTCTCATACAGGGGGGGGAACAGAATACGATCCAGTTGGGTCACTTCGACCCGCGCTCATTGCTAGAACTAGTAGCCAAGCCATCGCCACTGGAGGTCGAATGTTGGGCTAAATATCGGACGAATCGATATTTTTCTTCACGTTGGATGTCTTCTTTCCACTCCTCTCTCCTACATTACCTCCCTTCGCCCCCCGAGACCCCCCGAGAACGCCGATCTAAAATCCAAAATCGAAACCACATATGTGATCTTGTTGCACGAAATACGATATAAGATTTGAGAGGTATAGACTCTATTTTCCAAATCGCGAGGAAATAAATTGCGAAAACCCGGCGGGCAGATATCTTGTCATCCCCCTTCTACACACAAAAAAGTTGAGAAACCAAAAAGTGAGAGAAAGAGAGAAAAGTGTTTTGAGGAGCGATTTTTCCATTTTCACAGAAACCCATCATGATCGTTTTCAACTCTTTAAATTTTCCCTTTTCTTCTCCCTTTCTTTCTTCTGCGAGGCAGCCTTGTGCTTTTCCCCTAATGGGATATATGTCTGCATGTTCGTTTCTTTTTGCATGAAATATACCACTGTTGTTTCCAGCCTGTATGATAATTTTTTTGGGCTTTAGTTCTTTTATTTGCATGTGTATGGCGCTAACTGATTTTGGGTGGCTTCCTGTCTCCGCTTTTGTCACTGTTGTTGTTTACCTATCCCTGTGAGTTCAGGCCTCGTCCAGGGAGGTATATGAGTGAGAGGATCATCCCTCCCTTTTGCTCATATTGTTAGACCGCTTTTGTACTCTACTTTTACGGACTGGAGAGGCGGCTTGTTTTTACCTTTTCATGGTTATTTGTTTTTGCGTCTTTTTTCCCCTAAATTTTCGAGCACTCCGGCGTTTCACATAGCGAGTATTTCTATTCTTTGTGCTATTTTCCCTTCTTCTTTTTCGTACCGATTTTTTGGTTGGGTCTTTGGTGCTGCGAACAGAAAACGCTAATAGCGTTGTATAATGTTTTTCTTGATTTCCCAATCAATGTGTGTCGGGCGGGAGGTTTTGCGTTAACAGACTTTGGTTAACAACATTAAAATATGCTATTTTCTTTCTCTTCTCTAAATGCAACTTTCTCAGATCATGCTCTATTTTATTAATATACTCGCGCTGTGATGCTTTTTTCTTTCTCACTGCTCTCCTCCGGTCATTATAGTAAGCGTATAGAGGTGTAGTATATCGAGGCCTTGTGTAAGGGGGTAGGCAAAGAGGACCACCCACTTGCACTAACTCTATCCTTATTACCGTTTAAAAACACTATCCGGAACTCGATGTCATATGGGATATCCAACTAAGGGATGCACCTACATCAGCCAGGCAGAGCTCAGAGGCAGACCTTCCCAAGCGTGCGGGCAAGGCAATTTCGAAGGCCGGGGTGCTGCCTTTTTTGCTTATATATAGTTATATATTTTGTGTATATATTCTTTTGCGTTGATGCATCCGTGCGAAATACCCATATGAGGCCCCATTGGTGGTGAATATTAGCTATATAGCTCGTTACCCTCTTGATAGGCCGGGCACGTATGGAAAGGGAGATGGAGGTTTTGATTTTGATTTTCTTTTCTTTTTTTTTTTTTTTTTTTTTTTTTCTTTTTTTTCTTTTTTTTTTTTTTTCACATATTTGGTTCGAGTTCAAGGAGCATAACATACATACCACCACTATAAACATTAGAATAGTATCAGTAAAAGGAGATCACTCCGAGCATACTCTGTAAAATCATAGAGGGATTGGAATGTAGATAAGGGGCAAGGGTCGATGAGTTTGATGGATGAATGGAAGCCTTGGCCGCCGTATAACAAATAGACGGTGTGGTCGAGTGGTAAGACGTCACGTTGTGGCCGTGCCAGCCTGGGTTCGATTCCCAGCACCGTCAGAAGTAATTAATTTTTATGTGGTTTTTTTTTTCTTCTTCCTCCCTCTCCACCCAGCAGACTTATGCAGTTCCCTGATGTCTCAACTTTTCTTAAAAAACAAGACAAATTAAGTCAGGCGAGGCGCTAGGAAAGGGGGGGATTTATCTTTGTCATTTTGTTTCTTGGAAGCCGTGGCAAAATGAAGCTGCATTCCCCCCCGCTTGCTATTGAATTCTTACAATCACTCACTCCATACAGAGTACAACGGTAGTCCGATCAGTTTTATTCGTAACGCAGACAAAATATCTCTATTTTTAGCTATTCCTTGCTCCTATTGGCCGGTTGTACGATTGCAGGAGTTTCATTGTATCGCACATATAATTGTTCTCATAAAATTCCGGCGCATAACCATATATCATTTGCTCAAGAGCGAGTTTATTGGCAAAACAAGGCAAAAAAATCCGTATTAATATCGCCCAGGTAGAACATCAGCAGCCGCCTCATTGATACACAGAATCGGGCAGCCAGGCGATGGATTGTTATCATTATAATAAGTATTTTGCTCGTAGAAGGGAGAGGAATAATAATAATAATAATATAGAAATATAGAAATAATCACTGGAATAATAATAAGAGCAAGATAGTTTCTGGGCTGCGTATTAGTGATAGATGCGTACCGTACCGCCGTGTGTATGTATGTATGTATGTAGGTATGTATGTATGTATGTATGTAATAATGTATTCGTCCCCCAAGTCTTCTTCCGCCAAAACTCGTCTCAACTCTCCTCCTCCATTCCAAGTCAACCACAACCTTCTGCAACCATCTCCCCCTCTGGCCTCAACCACCAACCAACCGTGTCTCTCGATCGCTATTCTTCGCTGCTGAAGACCTGCTTCGTTGTCGACTTGCTGCTATTAAAGATTTAGACTGCCTTTGGACTTCTTCCGGCTACCCAGAACAGACTGCTCTGCACCCTAATTTTCTAGCAACAATTCCTTCGTCCACCGCCACCGTTATATCCACCAACGCTCCCGGAAAAAAAAAAAAAAAAAAAAAAAAAAAAAAAAAAACCACAACTTGAAAACCTCCAGCTAGACTACGCTCCCGATAGGGATTTTCTCGTCGACTACAACCATATTTTTTTATTTTTTTATCGCAAGGTCCAGAGATTGCCAGAGCCTTTGCTGTTGTCGACACCGTGCCTGGATTCTGCTGTGGTAAAACCCAGATAGAGCCTCATCCGTTGATCTAACACACCAACGAACGGCCTTTCACTCAGCCCTTCGCTCCATCAACAACCCTCTTCGACTGCAGCCCGCACCATCCCCTCCGCCATCGCAGAATAAGTATCTAGGCCGTTAATCAGTATCTGCGCGAGGAGTCTGGATTGGAGGCACGTTGGCTCAGTCCTTCACGGCCGTATTTTCTCCCTGCCATATTAGGTTTTCCCTCTTCGTAAGCCGCTCGCCTTTTCATGCTAAACGCCCTGCATGTTGCGACCCCCAAGCCGCCGGCGCGTCTTTATCCCAACTCTACCCAACATTAACACAGCCATCTTGGGTCGCACTTGTATACTGACTCTCTCTAAGATATCTAGGATTGTGTGAACTTCCTCAATACATCCAAGCCTCCCGAATTTCCCGCCTCCCTTTCCCCCCTCCTCCTCCGCCGCGACCCCCTTTCCCTCGCATTTTTCTCTCGCCGTTTCGTCCTCCTCGTTCCGCTTTTTCTGCATCCGTTACGTTCTTTTCGGATAACTTTCTTGCTAGCGGCAGCAAGACATGGCTGACCTGAATGAAATCGATCTCGATTCCATCATCGACCGGCTGTTGGAGGTGAGGGGCAGTCGACCAGGAAAGCAAGTTCAATTACTCGAGTCTGAGATTCGCCATCTCTGCACCAAGGCAAGAGAGATCTTTATCTCTCAGCCTATACTTCTCGAGCTCGAAGCGCCAATTAAGGTTCGTTTCTGACACTACAATTTATTTCGTTCTCTTTTTGCCACCCTTCTCCTATCAAAACTTGGCAATGTGGTGGCTATAAACCTTTGGGGAACACCAATCGTTTAAATTCATACCTCACCATGCGACGTAATAGCGCATATGGCTAATTTTTTAACGTGAACGACAACTAGATATGTGGCGATATTCATGGACAATACTATGATCTCCTGCGTTTGTTTGAATACGGCGGCTTCCCTCCCGAGGCTAACTACCTCTTCCTTGGAGACTATGTAGATAGAGGTAAGCAGTCGCTTGAGACAATCTGTCTCCTGTTGGCGTACAAAATCAAGTATCCAGAGAATTTTTTCATCCTCCGCGGAAACCACGAGTGCGCGTCGATCAACCGTATCTACGGTTTCTACGATGAGTGCAAACGGAGATATAACATCAAGCTGTGGAAGACGTTTACCGACTGCTTCAACTGCTTGCCAATTGCCGCTATCATTGACGAAAAAATTTTCACCATGCATGGTGGTCTAAGTCCCGACTTAAACTCTATGGAACAGATCCGTCGTGTAATGCGCCCTACTGATGTAAGTGCTCGCATTTTTCGTTGCCCTCTCGCTCTTGCTAAATTTAGCGTCCGTAATTCATGGGACTTCTTTCACGATGAAAAGTCTCCGAGCTCCGCGAGGCTCAGTATCCGCTGACCAATATAGATTCCGGACTGCGGTCTACTCTGCGATCTTCTGTGGTCCGATCCAGACAAGGATATAACAGGGTGGAGCGAAAACGATCGAGGCGTGTCATTCACGTTCGGACCAGACGTTGTTTCACGATTCCTACAAAAGCACGATATGGACCTTATATGTCGTGCACATCAGGTTGTCGAGGATGGCTATGAATTCTTCTCGAAACGGCAGCTGGTCACACTCTTTAGCGCACCCAACTATTGCGGAGAGTTCGACAATGCTGGAGCCATGATGAGCGTTGATGAGAGCCTATTATGTTCATTCCAGGTATGATGCCCCCGGCCGCTCTGTTCCGCGGTGTCACCGCTGGTGCCATAAAATACCATACAGGACGCACAGATAACTAACACCAACTCCTACCTGCAGATCCTGAAACCAGCCGAAAAAAAACAAAAGTACGTCTACGGTGGCATGAGCAGTGGCAGACCCATCACTCCTCCTAGGAAACAAAAGAAGAAGTGATCAAGAAATCATACGAGCTTTCCCATTTGTAGTAGGTTCGGGCGGAGATAAAAACTCTAGTCAAAACTTCCGACCACGATATATCAAAAACACGCACGTGCGCGAGAGATAGAGAAAGATAGATGATAATCTTGGCGGGGGGGGACGACAAAAAAACGAACCAGCCAACCCACCCTCACACCCAACCTCAACACACGACACACCGCGACACCAATAATAATAGTATCAGCTTGTATGCGCCGCCGCCTTCCCTGCCACCTTTTTGTCTTTTCACCTCGATTTTTTCTCCCTTCATCGCCAGCTTAACCGACATGGAACAGAGCATTGGAACTTCGCAAGGGCCGTTTCCTTCTTTTTTTTCTTGTACGCTCCTACGGTTGTTTTTCTTTCTCTTTTATCTTTCAGTAATAGGTCTCGACTTAACTATTCGGTACTTGCTTTTTCCCTTTTTTTAGTTATTTTCAATTACCTTTTTTCCTGCTCTCTGCGCATTCTTTTTAAAACGTATACTGTAGCTGATAATAATCAATGCTCCCGTCAATCGTCGTCGTAGTCGTCTTGAGAAAGAAGAATCTTCCTCGATCTAGTCATCCCGCCCCTCTTTCTTTTATCATCCCCCTCTCTGCTCTCTCTGGCCCCCTTCTCTCTTTCGGCCACGCACCCTCTTCTCTTTTCAGATACGACTGTTCTCTATTTGTTCCATTTCTGCGTTTCCTGTTCACCTCTATTTTTTCGTTTTCCCACGACAGATATATATATATATATATATGAAGAGAGAGAGAGTAAGAGAGAAGAGACGAGCATGGCGGGTGATCGTTGATTTAGGTCGCATTCCGTTTCCGTTTGAAAGAGCAAAAAATCTTAACAAATGCTTTTTTTCTTTTTATTTTTTTTATTGTATTCTTCTCTCTGCGTTTCTCCTTGCTGTCTCTTGTTTCCTTTCCATTTTCTCTTCCCAGATCCGATTAAGTTTTGTTTCCTTTTCCTTTTTCTTCTCTCCCTGCCTTTTCCCCTGCCCCTCCTTAGGCATCTACTGTATTCCTGTATTCCTGTATTCCTGTATTCCTGTATTCCTCGCCCGTCACCCGTAGGAAGATGCGCGAAACATTAAAGAAAAAGAAAAAGAAAAAGAAAAAAAAAAGAAAAAAAAAAGGATTATAAAATTAAAATCACTGTTAAGGTTTACTTGGGAGGGATTGTGGAATCTCTTTTTATTTCCTTCCAAGGGGGACATGACGACAGGTAGAGCGGGCTTTGCAGTGTAGGACATCGGGCTTCTCAATTAGGTTGAAGGTATCGTACTTAGGTAAAAGCCCGGGGGGGGGGGGAGGAGATGATAGTTAGACACAGCATTCGTATTCTCAGGGTTCATGAAGTGTTTATTTTTCTGGCTCAAGTGTCAAGTGGTCATTTTCAGTGAGATACTGTAGCTAGCAGCAGGCAAGCAAAAGAGCAGTTTTACAAGCTGAATGAAAAACATTATATATATGACAGTGAGCAGAGGGTTGCCCATCGCATTCGCCCATTTTAAGCCTCCATGTGCGCCTGTATGATATGTATATGTATATGCCTTTGGTCGCTATTCCGCGGGCCAGAGCGGAACGGACTGGGGGTGGTAAGTGGGGGGAGGGGTGGAAGGAGGAGGGCGGAGAAACTTCCTAAAGGTCTATCCATGCTTTATGAACTGTCTGTCTCCCATGTAACAAATAGGGAGGGAGGGAAGGAGGGTAAGAATAAGTTAACGATAAACGAAAGCGGAGACTGGGAATTCGTAATTGTAATTGTATCTTTTTTCCTGATTACTTTATATTTTTTGGCCGGGGGGGGGGACCTAAAAGACTATAAAAGACTATTCCCTCTCCTGACGGCCATTGAGGTAGATGAGAGTGGACTTGTATAATTAGTGGCGGAAAGAAGGAAATATAAATGTAGGCTAGCTAATAAGAGTGTGAACCAAAAAAAAAAAAAAAAAAAAAAAAAAAAAAACCGGGAGAACAAATGGGAAAGGAGCTGTTTGTCATGAGAGTTCTGTACATCATGGAGAGAAAGAAGAAAAGATTTCTGTGTTTTTTTTCTGTACTGGACGCCTAAACAGCAACAAACAAAAATGGATGAGAGTAGGGAAATGTGAATGGATTGATGCAATGATAGATCTGACTGATTGATTGATCTGGGGGTTGGGGAAAGGGAGGAACTTAGTTCCCGAAATTTATCCTTTTTTCCCTCATATTCAACAAATCATGAGCGAAGAGAGAGACGGAGGAAGCTGATGGTCTCTCTCTTTTTTTCTTAAAATAGAGAGTTATGAAATAAAAAGGAAAAGTGGCTTTGGATGGCTGAGTGGAACACACAAAAAACAAGATTTGCATAGACTTGACGGGCATAGAAATGAACCTGGTTAAAGGACAAGACAAGACAGGACAAGACAAGACAAGACAAGACAAGGCATGATAATACGATTATAATGCAAACGCGAAGGCTTTTCTACGCAATTTAGACATATTGAGACATCCATCTGATACCTTCACCATAACCTATTGGGGAGAAGGGAAAAAAAAGGTGCTTAGCTACGGAACTAAATGTTTTTCGTTTTGGAGAGGGTTTCCTTTCAAAACATACCTTGCCGCATAACCACGCTGCACATGAACAATTCAATAGGCCGGATACCCTCCAAAGGCACCTTGCCCTTGCCGGTGGTCTGGAAAAGGCCCATTTGGTGCCGAAGCTCATCCTCAGGCACGGCGCCCGGGTGATCGATTTTATTGCCGAGGATGAGGAATGGAACCTTGGCAAGCTCCTCCATGGCCAGGAGGGCGCTCAGTTCGGCCCTAGCTTCGGGGAAACGGTCGGGGTCCTTGGCATCGATGAGGAAGACGATGCCGCTTACTTCTGGGAAGTAATCTTTCCAAAGACGACGGGCTGTGAGGGAACGGACGTGGTATATTAGTAAGTGGTTGTGGGGGAAGAATTGCTGATAGATGCATTCATCATATGTATTGTAGGAAGAGACAGCAAAAGGGAATCGATGGTTTCTCACCTTGCATGTGACCACCTAGATCGAATGTTGTGAATCTGTTGTTACCAATGGCTAGTTCTTCGGATGTGGGATGTGCGGTAGGTTGGAGGATGGCCACTCGATCATTCTAAGAAAACGTAACATGTTAGCGAAATGCAATTATTCCACCACACGACAACCTTTCACAAATAGTCCCGGAGCAGTCACCCGCCCCCTATATCTCATGTAGCCAGCACATATATCAATCTTCTCGACACATTTCCCCCTTCAAGGGCTCCGTCCACACGCATAACCACAAAAAACGAGGCCTGCCAATCCAAACAAAACCAAAATGCATATATGTCAACCCACCTTCAACATATGCAGCAGCGTAGTTTTTCCCGCGTTATCCAGACCGAGGAAGAGGAGCTTTGCATGCTTGTTCAGCAGCCCGAGGGAGGCGAGGATATCATAAACTGTATAGATATACCATCACGTCAGCTATCCATCATCATCCATTATACATATCCGTAGAAGTAAGTTTGCCAGTATGGGTGCCACCGTCGGCCCCCTCTCCTCTTCTGTTTTGACTATTTGCCCAAAAAAGCAAGAGGTGGATGGAGCTTGAGGCAATTGGGCAGTTGGCCGTTAGGAGAAAAGAGAAACTGCCCCAGTTGGCCAAATTTCCGCATTTGGTCATGGCGAGTGATATGGTGAAGGGTTATACATACACCAGTTAACAATCCACATCGTGGTAACAGACAAATGAAAGAGGCGGAGAATGAGGGTGAGTGAGGGTGAGGTAAGGCAGGATGAAAAGGAGCTATCGAAGGACGAATGTGGAGTAGAGGGGTTCCGGATTCAATAGTTATATTATATCAAGCCGTATGAAAATCGAATCGACAACGGATCGAGAAGCTGCTCTCCCTCTATCTAAGCGTAATCTGTGTTTGGATGAGCTTCCTGGAACAAGGACAGGGTCTTATGAGAGGGAATCCACGGCTTTTGGTAGGTTGGTAGGCGATGGTTTGCTTGTTGGAAGCTTGCTAGAAGCTTGTTGGCTGGTGGCTGCTCGAAGGTATATGTGGGTATATATAGCGAGAGACCCTCGATTATTGTGTGTACTGATGTTGCTATATTCTGTCTCTCTTCATCAACATCAACATCATCGTCGTCGTCGTTCTGATGTTGAACGATGAGAGAGAAAGAAGTGTCCTTATGCTGACTCAGCACACACGTGATAACTGCATGAGCCGCGGATCTCGCTTGAAATGCTTATTGGGGCTAGTGTGGATTGAGCAGCAGGGAATGTTGGCAGTATATACGATTGGTCTTGGCTTTATGAAGCGCATGCATTTCCAAACACTATATATTGGAAAATTTCATATCTATAGATGTCAAAAGCAACACCTGATCAGCGATTATTTGATATTCTTAGGTGCCTGACCCTTAATCTTTCAGATGCCTTTTCTTCGACTCAAAAGAAGACAGTCTTTAATGAGTACATCCGCCAAGTACAAGTAGAAAATGAACATATAAAAAGAAAATATATAAAAAAAAACGTAACGAACGTAGTGAATGAAAAATGCAAAGATAAAGCTAAGTTCATGATCTCGTTACGCAATAACAACAACAGAAAGGGGGCGTAATAAACGAAGTTAAGATGGCCGCGCGAAATGCATCAGAAATAATGAAAGCCTTTCCCTTTCTAGTCTAATAGTTGTAGAGTAAGCTAGAGATATGGAAATAGGTATACAAGAGTACTTCCCAGGCAGAATAAAAACATGATAGCGTGAGGGGAATCAATCATGTTTCGAAAAAAAATCAAATCGTAAACGAGTATGATCTTTCGTAAAATATGTACCGGATGTAGGGGATATCGAAAACGATATATATAAAAAAGAACAGTAGTGAGTATAAAATAAAGGTATATACAGACGAAAGAGTAACGCAAGAAAAGCTAAAAACAAATTTTACGAAAACTGTCTTTAAACAGCATAAATACAAAATCAAAAAGTATGCTCTTGAATAGGGGCTTTTTGGGTGGAAAATAAAATAACGACACGAATGCAGCATGGATAAATTTTATATCGAAAGCACAAGATGAGCACCTTGTCCAACGCCAACGCCATACGCCTTAAAGCGTTCCGCGGCTTCGAGTCCAAGTTCTTTCATGCGTTCGGCACCTTTACCGGGTAAGGGTCTGCGCTCAAGACTTTCCTTTGCAGCTTTCCGGCAGTGCTGGCGCCAGAATTTTTCTTTCCGCTTCTGGCGTTTCTTTTCGAGACCTACAACAATATCGATGGGTCCGCGGGTGTGCATGTCGTGGCTGCTGGAATCACTAGTGCTGGTTATATTATGCATTGCCTTCGACAATCGACGGCGTTCTAGGCGAGCGAAGAAGGGATTCGGGGTGCGAGGGAGCGACCTGGTACGGCGCCGGTTGGTCCTCTGTGAAAGGCCAGTGATGTTCATGCCGACAGGGTGGAGGGCTGCAGTGGCGAGAGGAGGATGACGCGACAGGGTAGGAGATTTCAATCTCATGGTTGGCGGCGGCGATCGTAGACGTCGCGGAGAATTCCCATAGACTCGCCGAGGAGGAGGCGGCGACTGAAGGCGTTTTGGAGAGCGACTTGGACTGGTCTTACGGCTGCTGGCTTTCTGCCTTCCACGAAGACCTTCGGAGTCATACGTATCTAGGTTTTCGATGGTGTCATTATTGTCATCGTCATTGTCATCATCGTCTCCATCTTCATCCTCGGGGTCTGTGGTGGGGAAACTTGGGTCAATGTCCTGCGGAATAAGGATATGTTTTGCCCGGCGACGCTCTTCCATGCAGGAAATATACGCCGCTTCCAACGGACGGTCCTCGTCAAAGGTTCCGCATACGAAGTCGGTGCTATCAGGAAGGTTTGGTGTGCCAGGGCGATGCTTCTGGAGTTTGCCCGACCGACGGCGTCTTTGGCAGGGCCTGGGTTGCGGAGGGGGTGGCATTTTTTCGCGGTCGTTCTCACGTTCCTCTGAAGACTCAATCGAAGAATGTGAACCTCGTCGTCCAGGATCTTGGCGAGTGAAATCGACGTTGTCAACGCTTGTAGCTGCGGTTGCCATCGACGGGGCCCAGAATTCGTATTCCGATTCGTTATCACTTTCGTCAGAGTCTGCAAACCCGGCCTCATTGTCGCTCTCGTTGCCAGCGTCCGAAAAACCATCCTGTAGTGTAGAATCATCTCCATCGTCCCCATCGTCCCCATCGTCCCCATCATCATCATCGTCGTTATCGTCGTCATCGTCGTCATCGTCATCATCGTCATCATCATCGTCTTCGTCATTTTCCGCATCCTCCTCGTCTTGTCGGGCTTCTTCTTCCGCTTCCTCGCCAAGTTTTCTAATCGCAAGCTCCTTCTTCATGCAATCATTCAGCGTCATTTTGTCCTTATAATCCGTCCTTTGGTTTACCCAATCATCGTCTTCCAAAGAACTCCCGAATTCGTGAAAACGAGTAGCATCGGAAAGTTCAAACCCACCAAGGCCCGCAACACGAGGAGCACACTGTGCATTCTTTGAAGGAGGGTCGCTTCTATCGGGCTTATCCTGTGACGACGATGAGGAGTCGGAACTGAACTTGCGTAGAGAGAGAGGCGAGTTTCCATTTCGTTGGCTTAAAGAATCTTTGCGATGGTTTGTTCGTTCAAGGTTGCCCTCACTATCGCCGGCCAGCCGTGAAGGACAAACGAAAGTCAGCATGGATTTACGTTTGGGCCCATGGTTTGTATCCTTCACTGGTTCGCTGGAAGCTTTCGTCTCTTCGTCAAATTTCTGTCCACAAGCAAATGTTATCAGGCGCTTCCGTCCGAGATTGGCTTCGATTTCCGAACCGGGAGTGTCGGTAGGAGGGGCTATAAGAGCCTTAAATTGCAAACGCCCCTGGGTTGTGGGGGCCATATGGGTAAAGGCGGAGGGAATGGGTGGGCTTGGTGACTCAGGCCGAGGTGGTGTTTTGGTTTCCCCATCGCTGGTCAATTCTGCCGTCGAAGGTCCGCTGATGTTGCTATAGGTCGAAGGCGGGTAATTTCTATTCAAGTCATTCGAATGTGAAGCCTGATGTGGGGAATCAATAGGTGAAGGTTCGGGACTGCTGAGCAGAGCTCGGGTAAGCAGTGATTCTTTCTTTGCGTCTGGAATGATAAGTTTCGCCTTGGCATATGGTTGAGATGCATTATTCTGCAAATTCGAGTACAGTTTAAGTTTTCGATCGTCTGGTGGTTCGTCTGCGTCGGCAGAAATCTCCTCACCATCGCTTGTGGGAGCGCCCGGTGTGTTGGATAAACGCAACATCTTGGTTAGGGCACCGATCATAGCTGACTACCACAAGAGGCGCGGGTTCCTTCCGATCGGATGCTGAAGTATTTTAATCAAGTCCCAATTTAAAGAAACAAGAGCAAATCAACGTAGGGCGTATCGTAAATGGTAGTGAGAAAAACGACGAGAAAAAAAATCGAAAGGCCTCCCAGATTGCAATAAGGAAAAGTGATGCGCGACCTAGATGATTGCTGATAATGTGAAGTTAAACCGGGCAATGTCGAGTTGATGCTTTGTTGTCCTCTGGAAGACTATTGAGGAGCAAGGGAAATGCCCGTCAAAAAGTTATTGTCATAAGAGGTAAATCGTCATCTTGACCTGAAGGACGCGGAAGAGGCCGTGAATGTCAACAAAATTACCGGAGGGGAGAGGAGACGAGGCACGAAGCCAAAGCAAGGTCGATGGCTGTCGTAGTAGAGACCGCACGATAATAACTATCTAGGTATATTTTCACAGCGGAGGTAATAATAGACGGCGGAGAATAAAGCTAGATCAAGTGGCTTCTAGGCGTGTTGGCGGACAGAGGGACAGAGGGCGATGGCGGTAAAAATCGCCAAGCCGAGGTAAGTCGCCACAGGGCGTTGCGATTTTCCTGGTGCAGGGTTGGGCAAACAAACACGGGAACCAAGTCACAGTAACGGGGCGTGACGGTGTTGTGGACACCAACACAGAGTATTCAGTCAGAAGGGAAAGATAGACGATGGAATTGATGGAAACAAGAAAGCAGATAGGTGATAGAACGAGCCTAGGATGGGATGGGAGAAGAGAGATGAGAGAATGTGAGAGAGAGCGAGGAGGAGAAGAGGAAGAAAGCGAGAAGTTCTTGAAGGGGGGACTCGATGGGGCGTGTTGACTAAGCCGCCCTGAGCCTGAGCCCTGAAGCCCTGATCCGGTAATAATAATACGCAGTATTAATAATAATAGATAACTTACCGCGTATCAACAAATACCCAGCCAAACTCTAACTAATCACAGCAGCGATAAATAATCCTACCTATGAACCATAGTATATTGATTCCATAAGTCAACAGTTGGGATTGATTTGATTCTTATTTTATATATAGGAGGGAGGATGTTTAGCTTTGTCATACTCCGTACTATAATATATAATAATAATAATAATAATAATAATACCCCTCAGTTGAAGCCAGACCGGGTGGAGGTTGGCCCCGTCTTGCCAGCGAACTAATCCACATAACGACAGCGACAGCAACCACGACAACCTGCTATTTACGAGGCGAACAAGGGGCCTAACAACGAAGCAAAAAACAATTTCCCGGTGCATACTGCGTAGATCGAACCATTAGACCAAGTCTTTAATAATTATTATATGTATCACGAGTCGTTTCCGTCATAGCCGCTACCATCAACAAAGAGCAGCCATCGAGATTCAAGCTCACAAAGCCTGTAGCAACACCTCCTCGAAAGTCGGGCAACGAGCACAAGTCGACTGCCCCTACCTAGGTATTATTTACATGTACACATGCCCTGGTGACTTGGCTGGAAGATCGTTAATAAGTCAGTTAATTGTCGGGAGTGATCCGCGCAAGCCGCACGCGTTGCACCAATGTTGCTCGACATAATTATCTGCAATCCAAGAATTTCATATGCTGGGTGGGGGTTAACCCGGCTGCTGTGCAACACCCCACCCAACGAGAACACGCGAAATTGAACGACGTGCAGTGCAGACTGTGCAGTTGCAGGTCAATTTGACGACCATGGTTGGTGATCCATAATACCACACATATCAGCATGGTGCTGCATGGCGCTACATGGCCGGAAAGCCTGCATAACCCTCCATAACCAATAATGGGAATACTCTGTACTTACTCTGTACTGTTGCAATAATAATTCGGAATCAACGCTGGATCACAAGTTATTCTGAAAGAGAAAGCAAGGCATTCGTTTTCAATGGTAGGGTAGTCGTCCAGCATACAGGCTCGAAATATAACGTCGACTTTAAACATCTATCCCTTGTCCCTAACCGCGAACAAATGCGCATTTATATACTTGAAAGGAAACGACACGAAACGAAACGAAACTACAACCAGATTCGCGGCCACACACCACCATTCGAGGATTTAATAACTAGCTTGGTAATCTTAGCTTCTTTTTATTTGAAGTGTTGTGATGACTTGCATCATCCATATATGCAAGCTGTTTCCCCCAAACAATCAAACGTATGCAAGGCGAAAATGCTAAGCCGTAGCTTGTCCAGGTGTCGTTTTGTTGGCCCGTTTAGGTGGACAATAATTGGTAAAACACTACTGATGCCCAACAGCCTCCTGGTCATTTGCCAAAACAAACAACCTTAATTGGACAAAAAATAAAATAAAAAATAAAAGAGGGGGAGAGAGAGAAAGAGAAAGAGAGGAAACGAGTTTGAAAGCAAGTACTAAATTAGCCAGACTAGAGAATAAAACTAATTACAAAAGCAAAGCAAAAGCATTGAGATCAAACTGGGCTTGATATTCAGTCAATCCCTTTGAAACAGTCATTGATTCGCAGCCTGATGATAGATATATATTATCTCTACTTCAAATCAACTCATTCAGACTTTTTACTACAAAGCTGTATTAAGCTTGTAACTTAGCAGACTTAACAGACTGGCCTCTGGGCTGGGAAAGCAGAAATTCATCCTCGATGGTCTAGTGGTGATGATTTCCGCTTGTCATTTGAAAATTTGCCAAGCGCGGGAGACCAGGGTTCGATTCCCTGTCGGGGAGATCTTTCTCTATTGTTTCTTTTTTTTTTTTTTCTTTTGCTTTTTCACTTTTCATTTTTCCATGTTGATACTTTCAGTTCAGTGACAATTAATCTAGACCAAGCTCCAGCCACCTATGAGACTCTTTCATTTTGGTATTGTATAGAGAGAATCAACAGAGCATAGTTCCTCCTATCTCCATTGAGCATTATACGGGAGCAAACACATATATTTCAACATTAATTCTTTCACAATGAGACTAGAAATTCTGAGCTCTGCTTGTGCCTTGCTTAGCTGTTGCCATTCTACTCTCACCGACATTATTGCTTGAGATGTTTGTTCTTCTGTCCCGTTATCGTGTGGGTGGGGTGTCGGTACCAGACTATGGATTTGGAGCCTATTGAATAACTATCCCAGGGCTGGTTTGAGATCGGACCACGTGCAAGGAGAGGTTGTCTCATACCATACCATACCTAGGTAGTGTTGCTCTTGTATGAGGGATTTTTGTTCACGAGCTGTTACGGAGTAGTGTTTCTGACGAGAAACTAATCTTGCCTTTGCCTTACCATACCTACCCCGCGACTGTTGTAGCGCGGGGTTGGCTTGGTGGCTTGTGGTTAAAAAGCCCTGGCCGCGGGGAGTAATTAGATAGCCACCTCCCATAAAAAAACACAAACTCTAACCATCCCGATTCACCACCGAAGATATTGGCCTTCAGGGCGACCATGACGACAACTGCCATGGCATGACCAAACTGGTCCATCTCTTGTTTTAACCCGGCCATATGCCAGTCATGCAGCTAGAATTGGTGATGGTCATGAAACGTGGTCCGTTCTTCTACTCGTTGTTTTGCTGAGCATGGCACAGTCAGGAGCAATTCCAAGGTACAGTAAGTACCATGGGCCTCTGGATATCTTGAATGCGGTAGAGCTGCCGCTCTCCGCATCACTGTGTTATTTTCAACAGGTGGAGGGAGGATTTTTACTTACTCTCCTTTCAGGGCTTAACGAGTGCAGGCAGTGATGTTAGTTCTGTGGGTATGGTATTATTTTCGTCCGAGGAGCAGCATACATCTGAGACGAAGCTTCCTGCTTCTCCAGCGAACATGCTACAGGATAGGTAACCTCAATACATCTACAAGGCAAAAAAGGGTCTGAAAACCGGCAGATCCCTCATCCACTCAGTTACGGATTATATATCGCGATCGCGGATCCTACATATCCTCTAATTAATTAGTCTCATTTCTTCCCTGTGCCTTTCAAGGGCCCTCTCTGTTTACTGTACTGCGGATTCTTTCCCGCCGCACCACTACGAGCAAGCCCACACATGGTAAGTATATCTACAGTATATATACAACCCGAGAGAAGGCGGGGGAAACACTTCCAACTTGCTCCATGTGTTTGGCCCGGGAAGACAAGCTGCTCGGCCCATGATGTCATCTATCTCTGAGCCAGCCAACCAGGCACCTGCCTCCTGAAGCCGCTGACGATGATGGCCTGGCAGTCTAGCGGTGTAAACACTAACCATCAATGTTTGGGCCCGTACTTCCTCGATTTACGTAGATTGGTTTATTCATTTTTCAGTATGTAGAGGGTATGAACTGGAAACTTTTTTTTAACGTTCTATTCTCTCTAATTAAATATGTCTCAGAACCACTTTCAATGCATCTGTTATCTGCACTAATGTGATCAACCACTCAACACCTATTTCTGTAATTGATTATGCAGAAGAAAATACATGTTAAGACTATGCTAAGATAACATAACTTATAAGAACATAGAAAATATAAATAAGTGACAACTAGATACATGCAATAGTAACTTCTTAGCTTAGAAACATAGAGCAATTAATTGAAGCAATTTGTACATTTTTTTATTTATTAGAAATCTGAGATGTCTTGAGTTCTAAATTTAATGTATTCTCTGTGAGTTTTAAACCTTCATGTTTTTGATTTCTCATGTTAAGATGTTACTGAGTGATCATATTAATCATTCAGTTATTAAAGTAGATATGTACAGTTAATATAATTAATCACTCAACACTTACTTACACTTAACACCTGTCATTTCGCTATCACTATGATGAAATATTTTCAATGATATCTCAACAATACAATTAGATTTTAAGATGATATATTATATAATGAAAATATATATAGAAAATTACATATAAAAATATACAGCTAATTCTGTAGATATTTAACTTAACAACTTATCTAAAATATGAAATTTTGAATGATAATAGATTCAGTGAGTAAGCAGTTATTAAATCAGTAAAAATTATAATATTATCAGATTTCTCTGATAATAAATCTGTGAGTACTCTGACAGAGCTCTGAAAATATAATTTAGTCACTTTTTATAAAATTAAGAGTGTATTTTTCTGATTAAAAAAATAATTTTTAAATTCTTTAATTTGTTTCTTATTTAATTGTGATTATTATTATACAGCAGTTTATTTTTTTTCTCTTTTTACTCTTAAATCTTTCTTATATTTTTAAATTTTTTTCAATCTGCTATTAAATAGCTTTTATAGTTTTATTTATATCTTTTTACTATTTTATTATCTGATAAATTATTTTCTATTTTATTTTCTTTTTTATAATATCTGTTTTTTTCTATTTTTTAAAAATAATATATTATAACTTGATATTCTTCTTATAAGTTTATTTATTTTTTTAACAGTTTTAAAAGTTGTTATTTTTTTATATATAATTTATATCTTTGCTGATGAAAAGAACTGTATTAATAATAAATTTGAAAAATTTAATAATTTTATTACTCTGTTATATTTAGACTGGCTACTGAGACTATGAATTTCATATTTAATCTCATTTAATCTGATCTCATACATTTCTTGATGTGAATTCTGCTGAGACTAGTCATTAAAAAAACATGTAAAGTGACTATATATCAGATCTTAAAATGAAATCATGACTTGAAAAAAATAAGAAAGTGATTTCATTTGATTTCATTTAGTCTCATTCTTAGTATAAAGTTACTATTTTTAGACATTTTAAGGTTTTTTTTGAACTATTTTTAATTTTTTAAAAAGTAACACTTTTTGATAATGCTCAAATGAGATTTAAAGTCATTTAAAGTAATAAAAATAATTTAAATTGAGAAGTGAAAATCATGATCTCATTTGAAAAATGTGATAAGAGTAGACAGTAAGTCTCACTGAGACAGTATGAAACTACTATCTAATGTTAAAACTATGTAATGAGATCAGTTGAATTGATAATGAAACTATTAAAAAATCTAATTCTGGTCTCAGACACGGTCACACAGTCAGTCTAGTTATATTTGTAATATTTTCTCTCTTAATTAAAAACTTACTGTAATTATCCATTTTTTATTAAAAAGACTTTTTTATTAAGAGTAAGATTTTTCTCTGTATAAATCACTCAGTTGAAATTATTAAATATTTAATATTATTATTATTTAACTTACTTTATTAATTTCTATATATTAATAATAAAAATAAAAGTTTTTGATTAATATTATATATCTGAAAGAGTATAAAACTATACTATAAGTTTTTTAAAAACTTATTTTAAATTAAATAAATGTAAATCAGTAGTAATGTGATTCAAAGATTGCTTGAGTCAGTGTACAATTACAGGCGTACGCCGGCTTCTTATATATTGTACACTAAATTAATTAGTAGCTGCTATAACCTCTTTACACTTGTAAGTAAGTTCAGAAGTGACTGTGTTATTATCTGACAGTTGTATGTTCTTTTAAATCACATTCTCTCTCATCAGATTCAGTCACACTTATGTGATCATGACATTCATTCTAGCTTTATGCGGATTAGCACATCACTAGTATTTACAATCTTGTGATCTATCTCTGATTCAGCTAGCATCTTACATACACTCTCACAAAGAAACTTTCACTATATTATATCTCTCATTTACTAACTTTTCTTATTCTTCAATTATCTTCTTCATCATCATCATCATTGAATGCTATTATTATTCAAGATTTCTACTTCTTCTTCTATTTAACTCTTTCTATCTGTTTATCTATTACATTATATATGTTTCTGACAATGGTCTCTCATTCCCACAACAGGTGTCATCATAGTGCTTATATCAGGCAGTTTGTTAGTAGTAAGTGTAATATGTTGTGAAATATGATCAGAACTTGTTTATCTTCTAACAATTATCAGAATATATTATCATAAATGATATATCTTCTTCATCTTCTTATACACTCTTAACTGTTTTTCTTCTCAGTGAGTTTCTGATCATGTTTTCTAACACAATTTATATAAATGCAGATACTGATATATTTGTTTTTATTTATATAGAATTTTCATACATTGATAGATTCATATTCACTGATGATAGTAAACTCAATATTAAATCATTGATCAAGAACTTAAAGAATGTAATAATGAAGAAATTATCTGTATTATATATAACTGAGTCTTCTGCATCTCTCTCTATCTCTTCTGCTACTGTTTCTTTCTCTGTCACTTCTTCTCAATCTTCTATATCTGTCTCTGTGTCTGGTTCTTCTGCTTCTGCTATCTCTGTTTCTGTGACTTCTACTCCTGCTACTTCTGCTCTCACTACTGTCTTCATTACTAGCTCTTCTCATTTCAAGAAGATATTGTATAGACTCAGTGAATCACATTTCTCAGTATATACACTTCTGCTCTTCTTATCAATCTCTAGAATGATTTATTATATAAAGACAGTGTATAACACAACTATCTAAAGCTCAGTCACAGATACTGATTATTACATTTATTTTAAATATTTATAATGAGATAATTATTCATTTATATCAGAGAATCACTTCTCTCTTCAACAGTGTTAAAATTGTAAGTCTTTTTTCTTTTCATCTTTTCTTTCTGATACTGATTTTTCTGTTCTTAGAGAAAATCATTATGAGTTTTATTATATATAAAGTCATCATATTCACAGACACTAAGAAACTTTTTACAACTATAAAGTTTAATATCACAGAAATATCTACTCTAATGAATTTCTTTAAAATGATAAATCTG